TTTTTATTGTTGGAGGAAGGTCATTTATGTATATTATAAAAAGCAAGGGCCCTAAAATTGACCCTTGGGGAACTCCATGTTTTATTGTTCCCCAGTTTGAGAAAAAAATTTGTTTGTTTTTAGGTGCTTTTACTTCGACCTTTTGTTTTCTATCTGTTAAATAGGATCTGAACCATTGCGCTGCTATTCCTTAAATGCCATAAAAATGCAATTTAGCCAACAAAATTTCATGAATTACACAGTCAAAAGCTTTTGCTAAATCACAGAAAATTCCTCCAACATGCATTTTTTGGTTAATAGATTTAAGCACACACCACTGGTGGTATGCAAGCCAATGTTCAGTGGTACACAAACTAAGTAAGAAAATCAAAAGATAATATTAAGTTTAAGTTTTCCTTGAACGTATTTGGTTAGTGGTACATTTAGGGTGTTGAATTAGAATTAGTGGTATGCCAGTGAGAAAGGATGAGAACCCCTGCCCTAAACTATTTGCAGTATTTTGGCAGATACTATGAAATAAACATATGCTTGTATATAGCAAAGCCCTTCCTATCAGGTCTGCTTTCCCAGAAGTTAGTACTTAGCCATAAAAAACATAATTAATTTAAATGTTTTGTTCACTACATGTCAAAGCACTCGCAATATTTACACCTTCTGTAAAAATTTAATGGTCTAACCAATAGCCAATTACAGCAAAATCCTTTGACTACTATACTTACCAATACAGAACAAGTGGAATATACAAGATAACCACCAGTTGATGAATTGGCTTTCAGGCAATCTATGGCTTCTAACAGCAACTGACGCTGAAGGGTAAAACAGCGTGTGACATCTGTCTCATCTTTACTGGTCTTCACACTGGGATCTTTGGCAACTACCCCTGTCCCAGAACATGGGGCATCAAGAAGGACTCTATCAAACCCTTTCATCACCTGCAATGGACAAAATATTTCCATATGCAATAAATGTCTGATTTCTGTAGTTATATGTAAAAAGTTATTAACTTTTTTATCAACAGCACACTTTCCACAAAGTGTTACTGCAAAGTGCAGAGAAGGACAAACCAGTTCCATCACAATGACCTTGTGTCCATATCATTTATCCAATATACAAACTAGAAGTAGATTAAGCTTCAAAGACTTACTGTAGAAAACTTTCGACCATCATAAGAAGATATAACTGAATTGACAATGCCAAGGCGATGAAAATTCCCAACAACTGCCTTGATTCTGTCCTCATTTACATCATTTGCAAACAATACACCAGTATTTTTCATCACTGCAGCTGTAAGCAAGCAAAACAACTGTATACTACCAAAACCTTCCTTGAATTCAACTATCTAAATACCATCAAGCAGTCTACACACATTTGGTGATATACATGTACCTTCAAAGGCTGTAATACTTTGTGAATATCCATTTTAAAAATAAATAAATAAATACATAAAGAATGCACTGCTATATTTTATTTCTTACAGAAGTTCATAAAAGTAAGATTAAAACATGTAAAATGAACTCTTGAGCAATCAGTCATGTAAAAGTTGAGTTAAAAACTGTTTCAGAGATTGGCTCTGTCTCCATCATCAGCATCAATTTAGGGTGACTGTAAGCCACTTATATACATATATAAATGTGTCTATCCATGTGTTGCCTCTTCCACATTGGTGTGCAGAGCAACTGGAGGACTGAGTCACATTCATGCAGTCTGCCATCCCTATCTTAAACCGGTTCCCTGTTCTTCAGCCTGAAGAAAGACCTTCTGTCTGTCAACTAACCTTCACCTTCATGTCTGTCACTAAGCTTTAAAATCCCTATGCTAAGACTAGTTAAAGATTACTTAAGACTGAGTCTCCGAAGTCTACAGCATACCATGTGAATGTGTAAAGTAGGGCAGATAAGTCAATCCACAGAGGCAAGATGTAAGGAAAACACTCGATATTCACGCTTGTACCGTCCAGTAAAATTTGTAGTGGCAGAAACAAGCAGTGAATTCCAGGGTACTACCTATTACATCAGGTTAAATTGACCAAACTGTCAAGGAAGTGACACAAATATGTCTACCCGTAATACACACACATATATTACATAAATAAGTAAGAAAGATTCAAACTTAGCCAAGCAGGAAACTCAACCATATGGATTTTTCAAGCTTCAAGACATGAAGACAAAAAGTATCCAACAGATACAGGATCACTGCCCAGGTTAAGCAACATGGAACCAGTTTTTGGTAGGGGTGTAAGACGACACAAATATGAGCCCTCAGACCATGTACAAATATACACACCAATGTGTGATGATTTTCCTCCTGGTGCTGCACACACATCCAGAATTCTCTCATTCTCTTGTGGCGCAAGGGCCATGACTGGTAGCAAGCTTGCTGCACCTTGAATTATATAATGACCAGCAAGGTACTCTGGTGTGGCACCAATAGGGACTGCTGATGAATAAATAACCAAACCAACTTTAGTCCATTTGCCAACTGGATCCAAATTCACACCCCTGTTTATAAGAGCCTGAAAAGCAAGTTCAAAAAAGTTGACAGTGGAACCACGGTTCCGGAGAATTTGACGTAAATACGTCTATACGGAAAGGAAGTTTATATATAGGCTTTATTCTAAACATTTCCTTTATACATGCTTTACAATTGAGATAAGTTTGATTAAGACATTGCTTAATCAACTTGAATTAGTTACGCTTAAGATGGGTCCGTGGTAGCTGAATGTAATGTAAATTAATGTATTTTAATGTGTTTCCTAGGTAACAATAATGCTGAGTAAACAGATGATGTTTCCTAGGTAACAATAACGCCGAGTAAACAGATGACGTTTCCTAGGTAACAATAATGCCGAGTAAACAGTTGATGTTTCCTAGGTAACAATGCTGAGTAAACAGATGAGGTTTCCTAGGTAACAATAATGCTGAGTAAACAGATGATGTTTCCTAGGTAACAACAATTCCGAGTAAACATGACGTTCCCTAGGTACACTTGTTACACTTTTTTGCCGAATGACCCTTCCTTATAGACGTATTTACGTCAATATACTAAAATTTATTGTCCATGCGTTGTAGGTCATACGCAATGTAACATACAAACACACAAACATACCGCTAAACCATTAACCTAGGAATTAAAGTCTGAACAGCAAAAATTATAAAGGTGGAGGTTTATATAACTGTATGAAAGAAGTGAAGAATGTCAGATGCACATATTTGAACAAAAAGGTAATAATTTGAAGGCATTTAACTTGTCACATTATTGAAAAATCTGTACTTAGAAACACAAACCCAGTTCTACAGCAACTTTCACATAACATGAGAAATGTGAAGCAAAGGATATATTCTAATGGTAGAATGTGTATCAACAGAGCTTATAACAAATGGAATAACTAAAAATTATGGTGAACAATAATCAACGTACAGTAATATAGTGTGTTCTTTCTTATTTTCAGTTTCATATAAACATACATTTCAGATGTTATACCAGAGCATATTTTCTGCTGAGGAAATGTCATGTTTAGATTTATTCAGGAGCTTATGGAATATAAGTAAATACATCAATTCTATAAAGAGGATGATTAAAAAGTGTGTGTTATTTTGGTACCTTGATATTCTGTTTTAACACTGCATCATTTCTTAAGTCACTGACATCAATAAAACTACATTATGTAACCATGAATGAAGCACAACCTAAGAAGATAATTTTTAAGAAGGAAATGTCTGTGAGCTTTGAAATTTAGGATAAATTTCATCCCATATTAAAACAAAGTATTTGTACGTTAAATTTCAGACATTATACATTTTCATTACTGATAGTAATGTGTTTCAATATACCTATTCTGTACCTGTGCAAGATCTCTCCTTCGGGTTTTCAGACTGTTTGCTCGGATGGTGAGTGGTCGCTGGACTTCACTAGCTTCAAGGAATTCCAGCAGCTCAGATAATGGAAATAGCTGCATCAAGCGCTCCATCAAGAATCTATTGTAACTATAGTATGTACACAAGTCTTTCTGAAGTAACTCAATGTATTCAGAGCGGGACCTTCAGAACAAATTAAGTAAATACAGTTAATATATATTATTTCCATTCAAACTGATGTTAACTACCTTCTACGTAAGAGTAAAGGACTGGACAAAACCAAACAATGCTTGTAGACTAGCATAATACAATATTCAATTTACCACTTACTTAGAAGTCATTCACTCACTTCACATACAGGCTAGTAACCTATTCAGACTTCAGGCTGATAGGTATTTTACATTTACCCCTAACATGGGTGATCATGGTTTTCTTCCTTTGGAAAGGGTTCCTTCAACTCAAGTACTTTCTACTACTAACCCTGCGTACAGCTCTTACCTAGTACTACCCATGTAGCCCACAAAGGCAGTCACTACTCACATTAGTGAGAAAATGTGTCTGAAATTATTTAACCCACACAAAAACCTATGTTCTAGGCAATGTTTCTTATCCATAAACTTGCCGTAAAATGTCTGAATTCTTTTTCAATTTGACTAAAAATGTAATGTTGAGTCTGTTCTAACAGTCTTATTCTTCATATTTTTGAGAAGCAAACAAAACACTGGGACCATAAAATAAATGGAATCTCAAGGACAGTTTTACCAAAAACAGCTAAATCACAAATTTTGCCCATTGCTATACACAAACATCAGAATCACTGTCAGACATAACATGTCACTGGTATTTTCAATGCGACTCTAGTAAAGTTCTAAACCACTCAGTGTCAAACAATGCATACCTGTCCTCTGCCCGAAGTTTTTTAAAATCTGACAACACTGCTACTACATCTCTTATTCTCCTTTGAACCTCTTGAAGACCTACTGGTTCTTCCGGTTCACTTTCTGAAGGGAATGTAAACACGTCCTTGTCAGCTACATTCATCTTGAGTTCTTCTTCAGCAAACTTCCTACAAAAAAACAAAACATTGTCACTATTAAGTCCATAACTGATTTTAGTCACTTCATATCCTCACAACATATGTCATTGTACTCCCATTCATGCTTGGACTACCAAGCTGATTTTTCTAAGATGTTTCTCAACAGAAATACTGTGTGATTTCCTGTTTCCTCCACATACATCACATACTAACTAACCTCAGCATATGTGATTAAACAAACCTATAAATACTAGCAAAAGCAAACAATGAAGTCCATCAATATGAAAAGTTTGCATAATTAAAAAAGTGTTTTGTTCACAAAAATTAAAATTTGTCACTTTTTAAATATCAGGTTGTTTCTGTCAAAGCCAGTTAATGTTTCAGTCCACACTATGGGACACTATACGTGGACATACAACAATCTTCATCGAACATCTATCTCTTCACTGATGTCAACATTATAAAACAAAAAATTTGGAATGGTTTAGAAATATAATATAAAGCTGCTAAATTCCAAACATCACATACAATAACACATAATGCATGTACCTTGAATGTTTCTAAACTGTCTCCTTTCTTCTAAATCAAGTTATAAAATATGAGATTGGCAAAAGTACCATGCCTTAATACATATTGCATTTAACTCAAAAAGACAATTTCAACAGTATTCATAACCAGTTGGTATGTGTGTTGAAATAGAACCACAAAGATCACACATTTGAAATCGGTCTCCACATGTTATCCATACTTACAACTAATATTCTTTGAGATTGGTTATTCATTTAATTTTTAAGTCCCAAAGTTTGGATTAGGATTTGTATGTGTCACAGACTGTAGTTTGTAAGTCTGATCAGTGCCTAACTGCATTTGAGCAATAATTTGTCTTCTTGTTGATTCAATGCGTACAAACACAATAAATCTCCTAAGATTTACAATACAACTGTCTTACCAACATGGCTACACAGACACGCTTACTCACCATATATGAGAGTTAACAGAAACAAGTAGTAAGTACACGTGTCTGTATATGTGGACAGAGAAGTTAAAAAATGAAATAATTTATTACTTTTTTCCTGATAATAACCTCCAATACTGTTTTTTAAACATAACCCATAAAAATATCTATATAAAGCATAATTTTCTTATCCATTTGAAAGGCTTCAAGAACACAAAAACATTCAATATCGACTGTACATAATCATCATTACCAATTTAAAATTTTAATTACTTACTCATCCTGCTTTTGTTTTATTCGGAGTTTCTTGGCTGCCCTCTCAACAGGTAGCAGGTCATCATCATTATCAATGCCACCACTCTCATTACTGCTGTTATTATTATCACTTTCTTGTTGGTCACTCACTTCATCATCAGAGTCCGCAGCATCACATTCATCATTATTATTACTTTCTTCACCACTTTCAACATCATCATTCTGGTTCAGGTCATCCAGTGTTTCCACCTAGCAAGTTCAACATGTCACATTTCCAACACCTTATAACAGCATTTTTTTAACAATCACACTCACTGTTCTCATGTTTTAAAATTTTCTAAAATGAGTTCAGCTGTACTTGACAATGACATGTGTTCCTGTTGAAAAGACTTCATCCCAAGACCAACAAAACAATAGGTAAAATTACAGTTTTGTATATTTTAATCTTTATGTTTTTAATAAAAGTCAGAGAGATTGATTATGAAATGAAAGGTAACAAACATTCCCTGAATTTAATCGGCAATTAATTTCTTCATGAATGTAATTTTAACTTGCTACTGCCATTCCTAAGCCAATTTTGCCACACTTTTACAACTAAACCATTCAGAGGTGAAATTACCATGGGGTCTATAGGCCAATAAGTGGATAATTAAGTAGAATCTTACAACGTTCATTAATTTCTTACTTTGTAATCTTCATCCTCATCTAAAGTCATCTGCTCCTGATCAGATTGATCCCCTTCACCTTCAACACTTGCTTCTGAATGTGAATGATTTTCTTCCCCATCAGACTCCAGAAGTTGTTTCCCTTTCTTCCTGGTGACTGGCTTAAGCCAGGACTGATTGCCATCAGTGAATCCTGTGGACTCATGATCAAACTCCTCCTCACTATCAACATTAGAGTCACAGGAAACTTCTGAAATAAAAACACATGCATTTATACTTTTGCTATATTGCACACTTTTCTTTGTATTCTGCAGGTCATCAATTTGAATGCTCACAAAAAAAGGAGGTACTATTCTGAGATGTTTCTTTCTGGTTTCCCTCAGTTCCTAAAGGCAAATGATGGCACAGTGTATGACATAGCTACATTCTTGCACATCATTATCAATTTCAAAATTTCAATTATCCTATCATTTCTCATTTCACATTGCATAAAGTTTGCAGTTGACACAGCATCATTAAACAAACCTATAGAGAATAACTGTAATTTAAAACTCCTAAAAAGATCATAAGCATATATTAGCATAAAATTACTGCACTCTTATCCATGTTTTTAACACCTGATTTAAATTACAGACTGAGTGATTAATATGTCATGAATGTCATAACATCAACATAAAGGCAGGACTGACGTATTTAATTCAGATGAAGTAGAGCAAATGTAGGAAGACAGTAGACTTCTGAAGATCATCACTAACCTAATGTACAACATGATTATTACAGAGCAAAGAACATTCAGCAAATACAATGTATGATGTCCCAGCAGCTGCCATCATTTGACAACAAACACAATGGTGACAAATAAGGAGAGAAAAAGGATGATTAATGAGAAGAATGTGAAAAAACTACTGTTTTCTTCACTTCTCATCAAGGACTAAAAACTTAAACACTTTAAGCAATAATCCATTATGATACACAGGTCTGTTGATGTAAATCTCCATGAATTCTTAAACATTGCTATTAGGAGATAAATGGCATTTGCTACATGCTTCACCCACTTCACTGCCATTGGAAGTGTCACTGGTACCTACTAAATAAAAGGATGCTACCTACAGATCACAAAAAAACTTCTTACCTGGTTCTTTAATAATTGACTGCTGTTTTACTGACTTCCTTGCCAATTTCCTTTTCTCTGCTAAATCTGCATGTTTCTTTGCTCTCTTCAATGCACGCTGTTTTTGTCTACGTGACAATGGCTTTTCTATTTTTCCTCCATCTGTACAACAACAGTATAAACATTTGTAAAAATGTAACCTCACTTTATTATTTCTTTATATATATATATATATATATATATACTGTATATTTCCTGTCATACTAAATTCATATGCCCAAAATACAAATTGAATATAAAATACAAACAAGGTTTCCAGTGATACTATTGCCTAATTCACTCACTCAGTGATGAACCATGCACGCAAGAAAGCATGCACATTTTGATGACGTATTACAAAGGATGAAATTATCAAATTCGGAAAATAGACCATTCATGAATAACAAAATCCATAATACTCCTATAACTTTAAAGAAATCGGTCGTAACTCTTCCGAAGTAACTAAGAAAAAGAAATTATTCTCATCTATCGTATCTCACCAGTAAGATGATTGGGGATTTCTGGTTCCCCTTGCTTCTTTGCTTTCCGACCTGGGCCCTTCTTCACTTTTGTGTCCAGAGAAAATTTGGCCTTCCTGCCCATTGAATATTGATCACAGATTTACTGCCTAAAACTGAATGTCCGCTAAAAATCACCAGTCACATACAATCCGAAGGTATGCTGAATCAAGCACGTGTACCACATTATCACAGTCTAATATGTTCACAAATGACCACCGCACAGAGTATTTCCCTGGCTAACGACTTTGCTTCTCTGTGACATAAAATGTGTTAATTACGTACACAGAATACTCAATCGTCAGATTCAAATACAAAGCGTTTCCGTGTCCACAGGAGACATCTATTGGTGTCTGTCCTGAGACACATCAGTATAGATCACAATCTCATTCTATTTCCCCAAAACCCATTTTAATATTCTCATCCTGTTCTCAAACACAGCTAAAACTATAGTTTTGTATATTTCAATCTTTACATTTTTAAACAGCAGGCAGGAAGGCAAAACATTCTATATCACATGGCAGCAAGCATTCCCCAAATTTAATCCATCTTTTAATTGCTTTGTAAATGCAATCTTAGTTTGTTACTGTGAACCTCAATGTTAAATTTTTCCACATTTTCAACAAATTTACTAGCTACCTTCATAATTTTATCATAATAAAACATGAACAGTTTAACCACTAGGCAAACTGGGCAGGTGCCAGGGGTGCCAAACACCCTTGTGCTGGCCTGGGTATGAGATTCTAATATCATTACAATTTAATTTATCCTTTCCCCTTATGCAATGGTACAGCCCATTTTCCACCATTCTTTGTTTACTGGCTTCATTTATGATGTCATGATAAGACAAACAGAAAAAGATAGTCGGTCACATTAGCCGCACAGTCAGAGGCATGAGCCTTGTTCACTAAGACACTGGGACTGTGGGTTTAAATCGCACTTAAGGCATGGATGTCTGTCTGTGTCTTTTTGTTTTGTATTTTCCTGTGTAGGTAGAGGCCTTGTGATGAACTGATAATTTGTCCAAGGAGACCTGCCAAATGTGAAACTCATTCACAATTTCAGAAGTAATTGTGAATTGGAACACTAAAAGTATTAAGAGTATTAAAAGTACGAGGATAATAAACAGAGACACAAACAGAAAACAGTATATGCCAATAGATGTCAGAAGCTGATAGTCATCAGTAAAGCAAAGATTTATTGTACATTCACACTCCACAGAACATGAAAAGTGGAACACAATATAAATATGTTCACACTTCATGCAGCACCATGACACTGAACATACTGTATTTGTCAAAGTTTTAAGCATTAGAAGTGGAATTCTTCTCCCGTAAGTCTGCAAATGTTCCACAGGGCATGCCTCATCATCTTCAACAAGTTTCATAGTATAAAAGCACAATTACAAGAAGAATGATGCATTACTCACAATGCACTTTTGAAACCCTTTTCTAGGACAATTTTAACTACAGAACTTATTTATTTGTAGTTTATTTAACAAAACTTTTTTCAGCAGCTCAGACTATATAGGAAAGAATGAGAAGACAATAGTAAATTGGAAAGGATGTGGAAGGAAGTGGTCATGGCCTAAATTAGGGCATTTGCCTGGAAGGACAGAGGAAATGCACAAAAAACCCCAGTCAGGATAGCCAATCTCTGGGCTGAGATTTGAACCTGGAACCTCCAGAATAAGAAGCAGGAGTGTTAACCACTAGACCACAACGTTTAATAACCCTAGAACTCGGAGCACTCACCAGTGTAATAGATATATATGTAAATATACTTCACTAGAAGTTCAAGAGTCCATTCTGAAGTAATTCTGAAGTTGTGTAATAACTCATCAGTAATTACTTAGAGCTTTCACACCCACGTTCTTCATTTTTGGCATCAAACTGTTCATCAAACTGTTCCTTTGAAATCTGAAGGGAAAAAATAAATATAATTTATATTTACATATATTCACAAACCAACCAAGTTTTTTCTGGATAAAACATCTGATAAATTCAGAAGACCTCTCACTCAAATATCAGAACCAGACATCCATCCATACCCACATTCCTCAAGTTTTTCCAAATTCATTCATGAATATTATCATATATATTTCTCCATCCATGCAGTTCATGGTCATACACACACACAAATTAAAAAGCAAGACTTTTAAATACTATGGTAAGAGCAAAAATAAGTAAACTTCCACCACATATCAATAAATAACACAGCCAACACATAAACAATTCTGTAATCTATGAATTTTGAGATTTGTTAACACTCATACTTCTTGCATAAAATTAAAAAGCACTACAACACTTGTGATCTCTCTCAAAAGTGTAAAAGTTAGTTCAGTACTTAAACAGCTCTTCACATACCATACTTAAACAGTTATTTCAGCAAAATATTGTTCAAGCCAACACCATTCTCACCTTCTTTCGCTTCAGTTTCTTTATGAGCGCTATATCCTTGGCAAGTTCATCTATATCCTCTTGAGATACATTCCTTTTTCGTTTGTGTTTCGTGTACACACCAGAATCCTGCTGCTGTTGTTTTCTCAGTTTCCTTGTATCCCTTTTATTCTTACGTTCTATTTTGCGCTGTTTGCTTAGGGACCATGGCTCAGTTTGCTTGCAGGAAATGCGCTTACTTGCCTGCTGTGTCTTAGGCCACACTCCTGTCTCTCTGTAAATCTTCAGCTTTTCTTGGCGAATTCGTTCTCGCTGGCAATCCCTACACAAGTTACATATTTTTTACAGTTACCTGCTGTTTAAAAATTCACAAGCAAAACCATACAAGAAATATGAATAAATTATGTTCATCATGAGTTCATTAATTAAAAAATCATGCCCTATTAATAGCGGCAAAATTAATCACAATCTTTGATACACTAAGTTCACATCACTAACAAAATATCCCAACTTACTTGTAAGGTATACTATTTAAATCTATCTTTACTTCTTCAAAATCAGAGACATCTTTCCCTCTCAGTTCAGGCATTTTGGGTAATTTTAAAAGTCCCAGTCCTGTGGCTAATCTGCCAAAATTCAAGTCTGGAAAATAAATGCAGTTCTATTACAATTGTTTGTAAAGTTAGAATATTAAAATGTCTCTTTAACTCTCTCAGGTACAGATAATACTGGTACTTCAGTGAGTCTTACTTTATTTGAAAACAATCATCACTAATAATTCACACTGTTACCTGAGGTAATAGAATTTTAGTAGAAAGTAAATTTTAAATGTATGCTGTTTCCACCTACGTAATGGAAATAAATTCAAACCAATAAGAACATACCTTAATTTTGTGTTAACATAAAATATCAGCAATGTTAACAGCCTGTATTTCATACCTTTTACACTTAATTATGGAAATAATTTGAAGATTTGCATATTACAAAATGCAAAACCTTATTTAACAGTTTCACTTAACAAATTTTCATACTTAAAGAAACAAAAATTACTGAACAAACTGAAACAAAATCAATATTTTACATTTGTGAAGAGAAAGGGACTATACTGCAGACACTGGTGACACACATGTGCAGCACAAAACGTTCATAAATCAGTGCTCAATCTTGCTACAGCTTGGCTGCAGATCAGATTAAAACTAGTTCTATCAAACTGAATCCCTAACTCAAGCAAACAAAGATAATCACATGGGGATAAGTATAGAGTTTATGGGGTATGTGCCAAACATGCCTGTAGCAAGCTTTCCACATCATGACGGCTACTGCATGATACATGGTCCTACATAAAAATGAAGCCACATTCTGACAGTTATACTTGTTTCTGACACAGGGCAGGTTGAATCTTATCACATAATTTATGTAACTTGTGCCATCAACAGTTTTATGAGGTGGCATGGTATGATCAAGCAAAAGTCTCCTGACAGTTAAAAGTAAGCATCACTTTCAGAGTAGCCTGACTGTATCATGAAATCTTCTTCAAAGGTAATAAGAGGAACCAAAAATCATTACTTCACCACCTATCTTATGAGACAAATGAATGTTATTTACCAATGAATAGTCAAAGAATTGTCTATCTACCACAAACAATTTTTAAGGTTTCTTTTAGAAAATAAAATAAGCAAACAAACAAACTATTAACACTATAAAAAAGACACTAGTGCCATAGTTTTTTTATAGTGTCAATAGTTTGTTTGTGTGTTTGTTTGTTTGTTTGCTTATTTTATATTCTAATACACTACACGGTATGCAAAGTTTTAAGATTCTTTTAGAAAGTCTAGGGTGATACAGACATACTGCATATGTATAATGATGTTACTGCAAAAACACACAAAATTTTGTCCAGTGTAAATACAAAAAGACTGAATAAGTAGTAATACAATACATTAAAATTTACACACACACACACATATATATGAATGAGTTATTTTTATGCAAAAATCTTTACCTTTAAGCCTGAGAATAACATTGCACTCATGTTTTGCATATGCCTGAATATGAGACACAAATGCTCGTATAGCTTTGTCCATAACTGCACGATCCTTTAGTTGCAGTGATCGAACACTCGATATAGTGTCAACTGCAGGAGAGGGAGTTTTCATGTAAACCAGATGTACCTGCATAAAATATTAATTCAATGTAGCCTGTTTGTGATAATATTAAGTCTGATGTTTCCCACTTCATGTACTTAAATGTATTTATCCAAATAAATATAGTGTTTTTACTTCCATTTGTATTAGAAAAGCGGGGTTTATTTCATATTTACAAATAAACAAAAATTCATAAACAATTCCGGTGATTTAGTGACAACTGGTGCCTGTGGTATACCTCCGAACTCATACACCCACAGAATAACAATGAGTTTCCAAAGGAGTGTTCCTTAGATTTTCATTATCATAATCAACATGCTACCCTCACATTTATCAAGTTCTATACTTCTAGATCCATTAGAAGTTAATAAATATGCTCTTAAGGCACTACATCATCATTCCATATTTCCCATGTCTTTGTTTCTGTTTAATCAAAGACAATGACAACAGAAAACAAACTGACTTCGGAAATATTATTGTATTGATATTCTATACACACAGAAAGTTCAAGGTTAGTCACAGTCCCATATTCTTATACAAAAGATGTTAATAAAAAGTTGCATTTAGTTATTGTTTCACCTTTTGATTTCGATATATAAAATCAACATAGGCATCTTCTGTTGGCAGAAGTATAACCAGTGCTGATCCCTGATTGCCAATCCTTGCTGTACGACCACACCGATGAACAAATGATGCTGCTGAACTTGGTGGATCATACTGTATTACCCAGTGAACTTCAGGTATATCAACACCTCTAGCCATTACATCTGTACAAATTAACACACCTGCAAAGACAATAGAATGCATTTCAACTATGTAAGTCATGTAACCATGTTAAGATGTAATCTTTTAATTTTAAATATCCTTTAAATAAGTTAAGCTATCAGGTTACTTTACTGAATATGAAATAAACTATATAAGGCTCTGGAAACGAGAGTCTTCTCTGATGCTAGGCCATTTTATCACATCAGCCAAAAAACAAAATTGAATGATGAAATATGCTAAATAAGAAACATGAAACATTGAAACACACTAACAAAGGGCTGTTTACAAATCCATGGTCTATCTGCCTGGATTTCTAGGAAGAAGCTTAATTACCATAACTAAGAGACATACTCACTTATTAGTGAAATAAGCCTTAAAAAAAACACAAACACACACGCATGAGCGCGCGTGCACATACACACTCAACAAGTAGATGGCTGTCTTCTGGGTTGTTGCGCCTTGTAGTTTGGTAGAAGTTTGCCAACGTTTGATAGGTCCTTGCTGCCTCCATCATCAGGGTGATAAGTGATCAGGCAGCAAGGACCTCTGAAATGTCAGTAAACTTCTACCAGACTACAAGGCGCAACAACCCAGAAGATAGCCATCTTCATACTCAACCACCGTGAAAACCTAACATCGTACCCACTCAAAAATATTTCACTTACCTGATGTGGCCTTTCGAAAGGAGTCAAAAACTTTGTACCGTTTGTCTTTCATCTTTCCATGAATAGCAAACACTTGAAGTTCAGAAAACAATCTGAAAACCAAAGACAGAATTACAGGCACTAGAATTAAAGTTAACAGAAACAACCTGGGGGATAAATGAGAACAAGATGATTCAACCAGGTACTAGAAGACATCAAGAAGAGGGAAATTAGATGGCAATAATTCAGAAAGGAAAAACTGTGGGAACACAGAAGAGAAGAAGCCGAGAGATTTCATCTGTCAACCCATATAGAATGAAAATTATGTTAGAAAAGTATGCATGATAAATGATAAGACCATAAAAAAGTCCACATGCATTTCTACAACTCAATCTATAAATTAATTACAAGAATGAAACTGAGATGTTAAACTCTGAAATAGACTCTGCTGTTATTCAAACAAAATGTTCTGAAACAAATGTTACAACCAGTACACCTACACTGCTTCCATCTTTACAGATAGGAGAGTAAAAGTTACAAACTAATAATTATGCAAATCAGTAATGAATTTCTGGGGTTTAATTCCTTAAATAATTCATAGAATGTGACCATAAGATAAACTTCAAATGTTAACATATTTTTAAACCTTCACTCTACATTGACAATATACCTACATTTTCAATACAGATGCAAAATACTCGACACATGCGCATGTTGAGAAGAATAGCATGAATTTCTGATGGCTTCCTTGTGACTTCAAAAATCCCACCAAAGATGCTAACTTTTCTTCAGGTTTACATATTGTGTAGTAATTAGCCAAAGTTGATGGTGTAGAAATATCAGTTTCATCAGGTCCTGTACTGACAGACCTACAAACATATATATTTTCTTAATTACCTTCCATAATGGCCCATCAATATCTGTTTACAGAATAATGTACCAAACTGCTCTGATGTACTTGAAACAATTACACTAACCACCCTCTTAACTAACTCCATGGTACAGTAAAGTTATTTGTACTTTAGTATGGTAGCCAAATCTCATACCTTGACCCAGATTATTTTACATTCTAAATTATTATCTTAACACATGGCAGGTATTGGTGTGCATGAGAGGATAACATTAAAATGGATCTTACAAGAAAATGGCTAAGATGTTGAGAAAATAAGCCACTGCCCCAGGACAGGATCCAATGGTGAACATTTGTTTCCAGAGTAATGAAGTTAGGTGCCATAAAAACATATGATTTGTTGACCAGCCAGATAACTGTGAAAGATGATGGTCTTCCGGATTGTAGTGTTGTGTAGTCTGTTAGAAATTCACCAGTGTTTCAGAGGTTCTTGATGCCTCCATCATCAGGACAATGAGACCACATGAAACAACAACCCAGAAGACAGCCATCTTCATACTCACCACCATGAGAATATTGAATCCTACTGAGTAACCATCAGTTTGTTAAGACCATGCATCTTGGAATTAGTCAAAATATTCTCAGAATATGCAGGAATAATCACTCTGTATAACTAAACTTCAAGATCCTTATTGCCTGCTCTGTTGTGTTTTATAAATGTTCACTTCATTATCATTGTAATATTTTATTAACAACATACATCTGTTAATAGAAGTACACTAAAAGAGCTTTAAAGCTTGGCAATGGTATCAGATAGTACACTGCATATTAGGTTAAAATGATAAAATTTACTTGTTTTGAGATTTTTCATGAACAGCAACTAAGACAGGATTTCTTAAGCCTGCTCGCACCAACTGTTCAAGTTCTTTCGCCTGAGTGGCAGAGAATAAGCCTGTCCTGCGTTGCCGAGGCAAGTACTGGAGAATTGTCGTCAATGTTCTTTCAAATCCAAGATCTAAGAGACGATCTGCTTCATCCAGCACAAGTAATTCCTGAAACATGCATTCCATAATTGCAATGTGTGGTATACTGTTAACTTACAGAAAAATTCTCTAACATAATATAACTCACCAACCGCTTTTTCATGAACTGTTGTTGAATTACAACACAAATCCTTGTCACATACTACACATTCAAATACGCTTTCTCCAAAAATTGAAATGAATTTAATTTCTCACATTTAGAAACAATATAAATCAGCCCTTATAGTTTGTTGCAGACTACCAGATTTTTAAAAACACAAATAGTTAAGCTAAGCACAAGACCATACTGATTGAATGTAATTTTTCCTGCAAAATTTGGGTACAGGCATGTAATATGAGAGGCAGAAAATTACAGAAATCTCTGTAGCATCTGAAGCATGCAGAATGAAGAGGAAACAATATAAAATGTCCCTATACTTTCAGTTTCAATATATACAACACCATAATACAGTATAAACTGAATTTTAAAAATGAGTAGTGTTTTTAGTATATTAAAAACAAAATATGATATCTATAATGCAAGAAATAAAAGCATTCAAAGGCTTTTTCCATAGTCAAGAACCATTATGAGAAGAAAATAATTACTGACCATATTCCTTTAATTACTAGGTACTGGAACTTGGTTTATTATTACGAAAATAATGTACTATGTACAATAGTGTATTCAACCAAAGAAAACTATGTAACAGGTGTGAGATATGAGTTTCTCATCACAGTCAAAATGTAGATTGTTGTCCGCTGGAATATGTTGCTGTACAGACTTGTATGTGGTTACCAGTATTTAAAAGCAACACATCACCTCCACTTTCAACCCTAAAGATGGAGGCAATATATTTGTCCAAAACATCTGTAACCACCTACAAGACCACTACATACTACTGTAATATGTAAATTTATACATACCAATGACTTGACTGCAGATGGTAAATTAATATCACAATTTCTTGTCAGTAAATCCTCTAATCTTCCTGGTGTTGCAATGAGAATGTTAGCTCCTTTGACCCTGAAATAATCTACATCAGCAGCCACACTGTTTCCACCTACTAGAAGCATCTGTGTGAGATGATCACTATGATGGAGGAAGTGAGCCAGTACTTGACTTGTCTGAATTGCAAGCTCACGAGTCGGGGAAATTATAATACCACCAACCTCATGGCGTTTCAATCTTTCACTGCGATGCTGATAAAGAAATCAAAAAAGAGCATCTTAAATTTAAAATCAATGGTGGAAGTGTCAATGAAAACAGAATATTAAATTTTACACTTAGATGGAAGGAGAAGAGAACTCGATCACAATAACAAGTACATTTGAAGCCATGTCTCCTTTCACTACATGTAGCTTCAATAATATTATATTGCAACTTAAATTTCAGATCATTTAAAATGTAAATTATGGTCATCATACTAATTATTACAAGTACTGATATTGGTCAAACACCAAAATGTGAAAACATAATAAAGCAAAAGGAAGTGTTAACACAAGAAAATGTAATCATTACTTAAAGTTAAATTATTTTAAATTTACATTAGAATGTAACACACATAACATTAGGCTGACAATTTCTGCTCTGCTTTTTTGCAAGTATACTTATCTCTGTAGAACGTATGTGGTATTAAAGGAACATGTAACAATAAAGAAATCATACTTACTTGCAGTAATTCTAACATAGGAATAATAAATGCCAACGTTTTGCCACTTCCTGTCACTGCTTCAACTGCAACATCCTTGTTCTTAAGCAGTAATGGAATACATGCAGCCTGAACAAACATAAATTTTGTTAGTATCAGACTTGTCCCCTTAGAGACTTGGAAAAGCGGTGACACTCCATCTCTCCCATATTTTTGACAGCTGATCTCCTGATGAGATTCAACCTATGATAAACCAGAGTGCGAGAAAGAAGGCTACCACTTAGTCAAATCCATAGTGGCAGATCCTGATCGAAGCAGCTAGGACCTCTGAAACGATGGTAAACTTCTAGCAGACTACACGGCGCTATAACCCATAAGCCAGTCATCTTCACGACATTTTCGTAATTACCGTCGTAAGAACTTCAAATCCTACTTTATCATGGGTGAAGATTTCATCAGGAGTGGCATGAGCAATGGATATGGGAAATGGTATTATGAACCACATGGGCAAACGCAATCTATAAGACCACAAGCCATCTTCTAATAACCTCATTTGCACGTCCACATGGACAAACACAACCTACAAAACGATCTATACTACCATAACCTCACCTGTACAGGTGTCATCGTTTTAAATCCCATTTCATGTATAGTTTTCTTAGTTAAAGCACTGAGTTTGACATCAAGCTTGCTCCATTTAACTTCCATTTAAAACTGAAGTTCTAATACAACGTACTATTTACTACTTCAGCAATTGATTACCATCTTCTGTACTGTGGAAAACAATCACTTACTGGCGCTGATTACACTACAACACTGTCGCCAACATATGAGTTCTAGAAGCACTACTTTCTTTCACAGGAGTTACCAATATAGACTGTAAATAGCGAGTAGAAATATAACAAAATATATTATTTGATATTAGTTGTACAGCTTATCTAGTCAATGAATATGTCTGTTTAGATCATATACAATATTAACACAGGTTTTAAGGGTTATAAGCAGTAAAACCTTGCTAAGAATGGGGATTTACAAAAATTAGTTCAAATTAAACAAGTATTTAATCCAAACTCTGAATATCATTGTATTAATGATGCACGGTCGGAACTGTTGCTATGCGTATACGTTTTTGTGCATTACCCCAGTTATCCATCCAAACTACATTATATTTTCAAAAGACAAATTGCTGCCTGATGTGATCATCTTCCACCAGTATTAACATACCCAGGCCTTCAGCCATGATGACAACGTTGTTGGTGTAAGTACATTCCCAGTTATAGTTCAAAAGTCTCTTTACCTCTGCAATGCATTTTGTAAGCAATGGACAACATCTTGTGCAAAACTCCACCTTTAGTTTCCTCTTTGATTGACCTGACATAACCTCATACACAAAGCAGCCAGTCATTGCTGAAGAATTAGTCATAAGAATTTCATTTTTAAGCCAAATCTCTCACAGGAAACCTCGACCCACGCTAACATTAAAGGTTCAAACTGTAAAAAATTCTCTATTTTTCATAAACATACCAAACACTAAGAATAACTGTTACACTGAAAATATTTCTTAATCAGTCAATATGAAAGTACAACTGAATTCACTGCATGTTTATTTACCTCGCATATAAAAAGATGTCCTGATCCAGTTGAAGAAACATGTCTGTAATAAAGAGAACATAATTTCATTTTTGTAAAAGTTGTTTTTCAATATTATGGAGCAATGTGCCTACATAACATACCATGTACTGTCAAGATGGTATGATATTTCCAGCCCTTTCTCAAAAGGTCATCATGAAATGCCACTCATGTTTTCAGTATCAGTCTTTTCACAATAAAGTTAAGCAGGATACAGACTGGCACCAGTCAAGCACATCCTTATGGAAATTTTTAAATAAGCATATTTTAACACTTCATATAATTATCAAAATTTTGACACAAACATTTTTGTAAAGAACAAGTTTTAAGACAGCCTTCCTAAATTCCCCTCACTACATATTTTTCTTATGCAATATAAAAAGAAACAAGAATAGACCATTTTCTTAGTGTACTGCACAAATCAAATTTGTATGGATATAAACATGATAAAGTAGAATGAAAACTCTGATTTAAGGCTCTATAATCACTCCTTTCCTTCTGAGCACATGCACAATGTGGATAATACTGATACCAACTCTTCTCCCACAATGTACTAGGAAGTAGAAATCAGAACCATTCTTCTAAGAGTGTTTAACAACATTATAGGTAAAGCTTACAAATAAAAAATGACAACAATGATTCTTCTTCTCATTTTATTGCATTCAATTTTATTTCAATATAAAATTTACTCTAAACTGTGCCTTGGTCCACCATCTAGAGGCCAGACCAAGATCACAATCAAAAACTCATTGTTTTTGAAGGGTGGTATAGCACTTCATCAATAATCAGATAATTACCATTCTGATTCCATGAAGAAAAGCTTTCCAACCCATGCAAATTATAAAGAATGACCTATCTGTGGGAAGGCAGCAATATGATCTTATGTTGTCTAATAACAAACTGGTCTGAATATGGAAAGTCTTCAAGGGAATCAATGCTCAACATCAAAGCAAAACTTCAGTGGTGTCAATGCATAAACTCTAAGCAAATACAATTTGCATACTCACAGTTCATCACCCTACAACACAAAAACATTCCACCAGATGTGATCAGACTGAAGATTTTAAGTATTCCCTTCAGACATAATATTCACACTGCCAATGTAATGCTGAACAATACTGACAAAGTCAATGCTAACTAGCATTATAGTTGGCATTCATTACATCTACTTCTAAAATCTGTCTCCACCAATTTCACAATATGGCATCTTATTTACAGCTCCACAGACCTTCAAAAACAGACAATACTGCTAAAAATGTCCTCGCAGCATACATAAAAATTTAAATTTATCGTAACATTGCAGGATTAATTTATTCGTCATATGATGGATAGTGGCTTGTGTTTCTGAATATTGTAACATATTCTAAAACACCATCAACTCAATATTCTCCATCACTCATCTGTATCTGCATCATCAGTCAAACAAAATGTTTTTAATATTTATACATTGCAATAATCAAGGTCTTATGTTTAACCCTTTACTGCACTTAACTAGAATGTAACATACCAACATCTGCATAGTGTACCTTCACTGCTAAAACTTGACATTTTCTCTTTTTATAACTGTGTTGCTGTGATGTAAGGAATGGCAACTCAGGCAAACAATACTGACCATATTCATTTCATTACGAACATAAGTAACAAATTATATGTGCATATAAAGCCAATGATTATAACACAATATTTCCAAACCAACTGTTACGTGGACATCTAGAGTACAGTAAGATTTGGATGTAAAACATAATAAAATAAGGTTAGAAAGTTAAAAACAATAGCAGTACTTATATAAACTGATAATTGTAAAACAAGTGTAATTACTGAAACTGAAAGAATTAATGTTCATAGGAAGTACCAGTTTGCTGCATCAATACCTGTACAGTCCTATCAGTTTACACAAAATTAATTAATCTGTAACTGATATAATTTCATGAACCACCACATTTCTTTTAATTTAAAGTAACAGCCTACATATTCAATGTCTGTTTCACAAACATTCTAATGACAGTGAGAACAAATTGTGACTGCAAGATCACCAAATAAAATTATCACTTACATTTTAAATTTATGAAAGGAAGGACATCACAATGAGAGCACTTCATTAGTACCAAGGGGTCACAGACCATAATTTCATCATGTCACCTTTAAAAACAATATTTGCCTATAAAATAGTAATAGTATACCTTTTTCCACAATGTTTAAGGTGAGGTAAACAATACCCCAACCTTCCTTCTGTGGTCCACTGTACTACCTGTTCTAAAAATATTACACAATGGAATTTATTTTACTGTACATTTATACTACATACACTTATTGGTACTCTGTAAACATGACTCCATACACATAACAAACAGGAGACCAATGTGTTAACATCACAGCATACAACATGCACTGGTCACAAAGATTCAAACCAATGCACACAGAACAGCAAGTATTATAGAACTGTCTTAATCAGTGGGAGCCTTCACCATTCCAAAATGCAGTCCTATCTCCTGATGTTTCAAAATATGGAGACAGTTGTACCTCAAAAAGTATACAACTAAGCTTATAACTAACAATAATGGTTTAAAGTTTTAGTCCTATACTTCACTTAAAGGGCCTGTACAAAGACAGATTCCTTACTATTATATATCTATAATAAAGAAAGTACTGTGTATGAGTTCTGTTCCAGTAGCAGCCCTCTATATCACTTCATTGTTTACTTCACTTTTCAAACATTGTGGAATCATAAACAGCAGTCACAGTAATACCCGTTTCTGCACATATTGCATCAACTTTCAAGTAAATGAAGCTCCACCATATCAGAGATCAAGATCATACAACTGAAACATTTGAAACTCAGTTTCCATCATAACTTTAAATATTATTTCACACCATGTTTGTGAAACCTACAATATCAATACAATGCAGGACTGTTAAGGAAAACGTTTTTCAATATTACAAAAATTTAGTAACGAAGAATTAAACAGAAACTATATAAAGAAAAGAATAAAAACATTCCAAAATTAAATTTGAGATTTTCATTGGTGTTGACAATCTGGATTCTGGTCTTCTGGGTTGTGATAAAGTACAGTATTGCACAGTACACTCCTGGTTATCTGGATAATGATGGGGGAGATGCAAGAATAATAAAAATACAGATAATTCCAAATATTTTGTAATGGTTAATTATTTTTGTCAACTGTTTAGACTCCTACTCACAGCAGAATGAATTTCAGTCTCATCCTTCCCACACTCTTCACCTCCCCTTTTTTCACAGCAGCATTGACAAAACGTCTGTCCGTCATGTGTTAAAAGCCCACTCGGCACACATGAGTGTTGCCATTCTTCAGTATTATCTTCACCGATGTTTTAAAACCTTCTCACAGGAAATAAGACTCCAATGTACTTTGTCTCAATTGCACAGGAAATCCTGGAGTCAAATCAATTTGAAAACATGCGAGTACATTTCCTTCAACAATACTGCCACTCTTTAAACCACAGTAACACCACCAAATAGTTATCAATAAGATGCTTACAGCTTTTGTGCACATAATACAGAAATAATGGAGAAAATAAAGAACAAGAAAGGATAAATTATGTGACAGCAAAAGATATAACTGATATTTCTTTATAATTTAACAGGTGTATCTGTTTGAACTTCCATTCCAAAAATAAAATAGTTACAGATATGTAAATGCAATTAGAGTGCATATATGAATTGTCTGAAAGACATTTATGCAAATGTTTCTAATTAAATATCATTTAATTCATTAATATAGCAATGTTTAATTCTATAGTGTAATTGTCTGCTGCCACATCTAGCTGAAATTTAATGTACAATGGACATTCAACAAAGATAAGAAGATTAAATTAATGGTATATACAAATAACTGAACCATGTTAGAATATCCACCAAACATAATAAATACACCCTGCCAACTGATATACTATTTTAAAATTAATTTTATGGAGATGCAAAATAACATGTGAAAATGCATTCCCTTCCCAACACAAATCTTATATTCAATGAAGATGACTTGTCTCCTGGGATGTTGCACTGTGCAATCTGGTAGAAACTGCAGAGCCTCTGAAACATTGGTTAATTTCTACCAGACTACATTCACAACATCCCAGAAGACAGTCATCTCATACTTGTCACCATGAGAACCTGAAATCTCACTTAACAATCAATGGTAGAGGAAATAACCACCCCATTTCTGAGCAAACAGACATGTGGGTATGTCTTCAGTACAACACAAGAAATATGCAAAATTGAATCATCTGACTAAACATTCTTTTTCCATTTCTGGCATGAATTCTAACTATACACATTGTCAATATGACAAAGTACAATCAGATGATCATCTTCTACAGTTATGTGACATATTCATGTGTATAGTACAACAATGTCAGTTAATACTGTAATTCCCTCAAAATCAGAACAATGCAGCAACACTAACCAAGGTCTAAATGTGTAAGAACAATTTTGATTTCAGAGTAATGGGAACCACTCTGAATATATTATAGATTAAATTAACCCTGAACACCTGCAATCAAAACACAGACCACAGATAAATACAAATGGCATTTTCTGGAACTTGTGTAGAATGCATTAAAAAAGCATCATATTAAAAAAATTTAAATGAATCCCCTTTAGGCGTTTAGTAACTTCGTTTGAATGTCAGCAATGGGACACTAGATAACAATTCCCAGACAGTATCACCCAAAAGGAAGAAACAGAATGGAAAAGTTAAGGGGTCAGAAACTTACGTGAAACAGCAATGTCATCTATAAGGGATGGGCTTTGTGTACTTTCAGTTTCACCTGCAGGCATTCCCAATGATGGCCACATTGCACAAAAATCTCCTTTTATGAGAAACATCATGCTAAGGAAAATTAGACCACCCACAGTAATACTTGTAATTATTTCTTGACTGTTTCCCTTACACATAAAAATAGAACCCCCCCCCCCCCCCAAAGATTACCAAGCAAGGGTTTCTTATTTCTTTCAGTATTCTGAAGATTACCAATATACCACTTAGCATAGTAACAGCAATACAATGTACAATGCACACACTCACAATACCATTCACTTATCTTTATGCTAGGAACACTATGCAGTTACAATACACTTATTTCAGTGAGAGGCAAATACAGGTAAAACCACTGCATGCCAACAAAGGTTATAAGGCAATCAGTTCTGTAACCTTATGGACCTGTTACTCAACAGAAGCAAATACTCCACCTTTGCATACACCAACTGGTATGATCTCTTCTCATCACAGACCTCTCCCACATAAAGTCCCAACCACTCTGCCAACATACTATAACAATAACAATCTCATATTTATCAGCTAATAATCTCTGAACATCTGCCTTCCCAGCAAAAAAGTTATTCTTTTTCTGCCACGTGCACTGTCTGGGGTATGCTTTTAACTTCTGTTTTACTGCTTTACTGTATATAATTATTATTATTAATTATTATTTAGTTGTTTTTTTGCTACTAATTGATACCCTCTCATCATTGGTTATGAGGCAGTATCACTTGAATATGTGGCTGAGTGCTGCCCACTGAAACAAAGAAATTAAGTCATGTTTAGCATAAAAGAAACACACATGTCCAGCTATGATTCATCTGTGAAACCACTTAATGAATTTTTGACAAAATTTAGTACTGGAGGTTTACACGAAGATTGTCAGACAAATTTAAAAATAGTCTGCTGCAGTTCAACAGCCTCTACTTTACAAGATCTAATCAAAACATTAGTATAAAACAAAACGTGGACCCAATAAAAATAGAAAATCTTTTTATATGTCACATGTTTATACCTCAATAAATAAAAAAATCTTAACACAAGTGCAGTTTCAATAACCTTTAGAGAATCATTCCTACAATCTAATGACATAATATACAAGTTACAAATGAAGAACATGTTTTGCCAGTCCCAGAGACAGTTGTCTATGCATGACGTAATCTGGAATAAAATGCATTCAGCAAACATTACTACTGATAGACAAAGTGACACATGGTAAAAGACATTTGTTCCTTCTATGGAGGTCTCTGTTACAGAGAGGTAACAAATGTAGGTTTTAATGTTCAAAATATTATAGAAGATAAAATATAAATATACCTTGGGAGAAATCTAGTCAGGTAATAATAATGGTCCTTACGATTTCAAATGGTTACAATAACGAAGATGGCCGTCTTTTGGGTTGTTGTGCTGTATACTCTGTTAGAAGTTTCCTGACATTTCAGAGGCAGCAAGCATCTCTGAAACATTGATAAACTTTTACCTGACTGCATGACTCAACAACTCAGAAGACAGCTATCTTCATACTCATCACTGTGAGAACACGAAATCTCATTTCATTACATCAACATTTAGGATGATAATATTACCTTGGTGCTGGTGATGAATGTACTGCACTGCAGCTTGCTGCATGCTAGCTTGTTGCATCATAGGATGATGTGGATTATGTGCACCCGGAGGCAGCTGTCCTGGCGGCAGCACTGGACACATTATAGAGTATGTATGGGGTCCACTAGGAGGGTGCCCTTGTGGTGGTCCTGGAGGTGGCTGCTGGTAAGTAGCTGGCGGTGCCCCAGCTGGAGACTGCGGGTGGCCACCTTGCGGATGGTGGTGGTAAGCACCTCCGCCTGCTGCACCTCCATTATTTGGAGCACCTACAGGAGTATGTGGAGGGCCTGGTGGGTTAGGAGTGGCCCCTTGTGCAGGTGATGGTCCACTGGGTGGAGGTGGACCCTGCTGAGAAGGTGGAGGAGGGTGTCCATGGTGATGAGGATGGGGATGATGTGGATGGCCATGATGTGGTGGCCCCATGCCTGTAGGCGGGGCAGGGGACATGTACTGAAGTTGATGAGGCCCTGGTGGGGGCTGAGGTCCAGGTGATTCATGATGATAACTCATTGATGTTGGTACAGCTCCTATAGGAACCATGCCTGCACCCTGCTGTACCATACGGACCACCTATACGATAAAAGTTGCAAGGTATTCTCAAAAAATACAAACTGCAAAATCCTACACAATAATTTCTTGAACATTATACAGAGAAGATTAAAATAAATAACAACAGCCAATAAAGCATGGTTTCTCTCTTTACATAACAAGATGTTCCACGCACTTTTCAACATCATACAAATCACAACAATCAATCTGTTACTTTGGGGTTTCTGCTGTAGACAGGCCTTCCATGCATATAAAAACAGTTAAGAATGCATAGGCCATGAAGGTGACAAGCACTAGGACAGATTAGAAGCATAAGTCCAAACTTATGCTTTCATAAAGTGGAAATGTGTCTCAATGAATTCCACATGTGTGCGCTCTTACTAGGATGTTTTCAAAAAATTGAACATATGAAAATAATATAACTGTACATAATATGAACCAAGTAGCTTGTATAAATGCCAGCTGTTTGAAAATTTTGTGCATGGGTAAATGAATTAATTCCTAAAATTCCAGCCTTTATTTGAAGCTTGTAGCTTAAAAACTGCATTAAATAAAATTAGTGTTTTAATCTGCTGGACTTTGACACCAAACAATTTGTATTTAATCTGGCTATCCTTCTAACACAGCCCCAATTAAACATCACATTTACCTGCAAATTATTAAAAAACAATTTTTATATACACAAATTCTTGAAAGTGCTCTTTCTAAACTAGACTGTGCAAAAACTTTTGTTCCCATTACTCACATGTTGATACTGTGTCTGAGGTGGTAGATGCCCTTGATGTGGATATGGCAATGCAAACTGAGTAGGTATAGGGGCAGGAGCCAACAATGGCTGACCTGTAGCTGCTGCCACCTGCATTTGAGATGCAATGTCTGGACGATGAGGCATTGGCATTGGCACTGGAACAAACACATTTCTTCATTTTCTGCCTGCATTTTTAAATCAGCCTATGACATTCAGAGCTTCAGACAAGCTTACAACATAAATCTTATGCCAAAGCATTCAACTTTAGCCAAATGTAAATGCATTACCTTATACTGTGAAACATTCTGAACAATATTTTGACACCTGTGATGACGTTTCTCATTTTTGAGCAGATACAAGCCTGTAAAAAATTGTTTTAGACAAAACATCTAAATATTTAGACTGGCCTGTTGTTAATACATTGTCACTTTTATTCACATACACAAAATAACTCCCATAACCAGATTCAAGTTTTACCTTAAAAATGACAAGGTAAAGAAGTTAAAAAAAGAAAAACTAAATAATGCACAACATATGGGTAACTAAGACTGTGACAAAAACACTTGTAAAAATGATTTAACCTACTGAAAGAAAATTTGTCATTAAGTCTAACCATCAACAACACTAAATACCTCTTTGGACTCAATCCTGACCCATTTCAACCCACTTCACATTTCATAATATATCTAAAATAACAATTTGTAAGAAGTCCATCTATATTGTCACACCTTTTATGGCATTTCCAAATGGCAATAAAATCTGTAAATCAGTACAACCATAAAAGGCTCAGAAAACTGGTTCAATACAACAGCAATTCTTTTGACATTGTTCAACATTACAGATCTTTCAGCATGTTCCAAAATAGCAAATAAAATCCAGCACTTATAGCATCATTTACAGTATTATTCTAGATTTTGCCTGGAAGGGCTGAGGAACACCATTAAAATCCCAGGATAGTAAGTCTCCAAGATGAGATTTGAATATGGGACCTCCTGAAAAATGAAGCAGGGATGCTAACCACCTAACCACAATGTTTAGTCCCAACTCTTTCCAATCCATATATTTCATCATCAAACAGATCTGGTTACCTGGAACTCACCTTTACGGAATCGGCTGTTTTGATTTTGTGGAGTGAATGCATTAGGTTGGTTAGCTGCTGCAACAACGTAAGTTGGCATAACCATTGTAGCAGTCATTCCAGCAGCAGCTCCTGTTGGTGCTGCGCAGTATTGTGGTGTCTGCGGAGTGTGTGGCCGTGATGGAGTGGGTGTACTTGGAGAACGCTGAAGGAATTACAGACAAGGAAAATAAACAAAAGTGAAATGGCTGGTGTCATACCAGCAGCAATGCCAGGCACTTTTGTAAAAGCAAATAAAATAACAGAAATCTCAGAGCTGAAAATACACAACATAAATTGTTAAAATCAAGTATTTTACTTAGTTGTGATTTTCCTAATACTATGAGTTACATATGCAGCACAAATGGTTTACTCTAAGGAAAAGGCTTAATACTAATATTAAGCTGGTACAGATCTTCTATCGTATGAACGTGCCACAAAGAAATACTTGCACCAGTACATGCTTTGTTTTACTTCACAATACCCAATCCAGCTCAAACTAATCACATAATTACACGACACATCCTGTAGCCTGACACACCAAATATTGGTCAGAAGAATGATTGCACTTGTGGTACGATTAGTGAATAAGAAAAGTATGACTAGAATTTCAGTGCCAAAAATGCAAAGTCAGCATGTGTATAGTTCATATTTTCCATATAAAGGTAGATTTCTAGATATGCCTTCTATTACAATGTTGGAAGGACATGCAATAAAATGTAAGAGCTGTATATTTTGATCTATATACTTTGTATATAAAACCTTTTTTGAGGGGGAGGGGTGTAAGAATGGACCACTACAGATATGGATGTTTTTCTTTCATGAACTGTTTACAAAACATTTTCTCAGTACTAATACCATTATTAGTTAAATCCTTGAATTTAAATTCAGCCACCAGCCTCACAGCATGGGCATTTAAATTCACCATTCCCATAAGATAAAGGTTACGAACTAGTTAACCCATTTTGTAAAAGAACGCACAAAATATTTAGAACAGGCTCACAACTGTGTTTTTAAGACTGTGTCCAGAGAACACATTTTTATAATTACTTTTAATGTGTGAGACATTTTTCATTCATGACAAGTTACAAGACATAAATTTTACTTCTAGAGTATTACAAGATCAATGACGTGAAAGTCTGATCATCTAGCTTACACACAAAATTTAATGTTGCTACTGTACAGATGTAATTGAATACAACAGGAAGTAACAGCAGTTCTTACCGGGGTAAATGGTTTAGCATTTGGGTTGTATACAAACTCCTTGGCATTAGGATTGAGGGTTGATTTTTTTAGCGTAGATGCCACTTTATCAACTGGGCTACCACCAGGCTCACAACCCTGTTGGTCCTTATTCCCTACCCCTTCTTCAGGGGATTGCACCTGCCCCTGCTTCTTGCAATCATTAGCACCTGTATCACCAGTCTCTCCAGCACTTAATTTGAAATCCTGCCCAAACTTCTTCAAATCAGCTTGTTGTTCATCACGCCCTAAATACAGAAGAAGAAGAAAGAGATTGGAAATGCGCACTCTTTGGAGTATACAAAAAACCCAAGGGTGTTCTTCATGTCACATCAGCAGGTTGCTTAATCAATAATCACTGCTCAAAGGAACTGTTGACATGAACCACTCTTAACTGGAAGGAGAACAAATGTTATATCAAATGCAACAATGGCATTTAGGGTCAGTTACAATGAGAAATAAAAAATAAGAATTGCATTTATATCCTCCTTCTACAAGAACTGTTCAAAATTAAATATGCAACACTTCTTCCTCTTCTCACAAAGCCAGTGAACTTACCCCTTGAAGTCTGCTGCAGTTTCCTATTTACAGGGGCATTACTGGTGTTTGTGTTAGGGACCTGCTGCACCACAGCCGGCTGCTCTGGAAGAGAGGCCACTTTCATAGCAATTATGTTGTCAACTGCAGGTGGTGGCTGTTGCACAGAAACAACTGGAGGAGTTGTTACTAGTGTAGGAGAAGCTACTGAAGGAGCACCAGCCACCGCTGGAGCTGGGGCAGTGAGCACCTGAGCTGGTGTGTTACTATGTGTTGCACTGCCACTGCTAGGGAAAGGAGCGGGTGGAATACCACCAGGGGAGTGATGACTCAATTTAGGATCAACTCTTGGAGGAAGAGGACCTTGCTGAGGCTGATCTGCAGGATACCGAGGAGGATCTGACACAGGAAATGCACCACGTGGACCTTGAAAGAGAAAAAATACAAGCAGCAGATTAACAGAACATCAAGTGAAAATCATCTTAAACTACTGAAACTTTATCAATTTACAGTCCCTTAACCTTCCTAAAATAAGAACTTTATACGAATATACGAGCTATTATATGTTAAAAAGCTATTCTATACCAAACATTTAAAAAAAGGCTTGCCTTACAGAATACTATTCTGTACAATTATGCACTACACCACCACACTTCATGAGTAAGGGCAGTTTCCAACATTACATGTTTCTTTGTCCACCTACATAAATACATCCTTCATCATTATTCCAGCAAACCAAAGAAAAATAATCTATCATTACATCATATAACTACCTTTGCAATAAAATAATATGTAGAATGATTTTAACACAATCATCAAACTATTACAATACTGCTTAAGTTTACCTGAGCGTATCTGCTGCAGAGATCTCTTTGAGTCCATTCCATTTATTTTATTTGGTTCCCTTTGTGACAGAGGAGGCTGTTGTTGAGAGGGTACTGGTGTATACCCAGGACCATGTATATGCGGGACAGGGGGAGGTTGGTTCAATGAAACTACAGGGGTGGCAGTGACTGATGGTGGTTGAAAGGGGGGTGGATGGAGATATGCCCCTCCTCCTGCTCTTGCAGGGAGTGGTGCTTGCTGCTGCGGTTGCAGTGGTGGTTGCTGGGGTGATGCTTGTGATGGCAGCTGCTGCTGAGGCAGACTTTGAGGCTGTGGGGGTTGTGCATGCTGTGGCGAATGCATTTGTTGCTGAGGCTGAGAAGGGGGAGGCGGAGTGGATCGAACCAATTTCCCAGTCTGTAAAACATAAAGTAAATGCACAATACTGTAAATTGGTTGCCCCCAAACAAGTTGTTCTAACAAAATCCAATTAATGCAATTCAAACCATTTTCCTTAAACACAATATTTTCTAATAATTAGTACGTTAACATTGATCCTGCTTTTAGACAGTGACACCATGTTAAAGTGGGTTGTGCTGCTGATGTTTCAAGTGAACACATTACCTCCATCATCAGAGCAGAAGTGACAAGTCACAATAAAACATTTCCATAAACCACTTTTACAAAGAGATCTGTGTAATATACGTCTGTAGTTCCTAGAAAATAATCCTTCACATTCATTATTGAAATCAAACTGAAGCGACACTTACCAGAGAACAGAGTAGATTAATTTACCTGTGGATTTTTTCTTTTGGCAGGTGGAACATATTTTCCTCCTTCTAGAGTACCACCACTTCCAGCACCTAATCCCACATTTTGTGTTTCAGAGGGACGAATCACTGCAGCAAATATGTCCTCCTCATCGCCATTTTCAACATCTATACGAGCTTTGTAATTTGGATTTGCTTCAATCTCGCTTGCTATTTTGGCAGCCTTTGCTTCTGCCTCTCTAGAATGGCAGAATTCAAAATAATCTTACTGCTATAAATATAAACAAACACAAACAAAATTTGATCATAACCTGCACACACTGATTTCAACAACATTCACAAATTATGCTTACATTTCTTCTGCCAGCTTTCCTGTCATTTTGTTTCCTGGTATGCTTTCATAAATTTTAAATGCTGGTACTACAACATAATACTTCTGTAGCTTTCACACTGTTTCCAGTCTCCTTTCTTACAAACTTATATGGTGATCCCTTCATACCAGTCCTCTGGTATTCTATTTTGTATCACACTTGTGAGTAAACAGAATCATAGCTGTCACCTCAATGTGAAACAAATGTCATTCAAAATATATTTGTATTTTCAAGCTGATTTCTGAAAGGATAATGGGCTCTCTCATTTGAGGTACGCAAGCTGTATTTGTCCAAACAGCAACTTTCTTGCCAATTTTTACAAGCACACCACTGCAATTAATAATGTTAATTCTTTCACTGTTATGAGAGAGAGTTCTGCTACATGAAACAGAATGCCATGCATTATGGATGCAACAGTTTTGCAAGGGTACAGAGTGAACTGTACTATCAATTTTTTGTTGTCAGTCAATATATTCAAGTAGCTGAAGTTAAACATAATGGAGGGCATTAACGATTTTCTACATTTAAATTCTAAATGTAATACATTGTACTGAAATGTATGGGAATTGAATATTGCAAGAAAAACTAAATGCTCAAAACAGGGCAACTGACAAATGCACACAGCCTACTGATATACATTTTCACTGACAGTAAAAGGGTTACCAAAATAATTCCTTCTAAAACAATGCCTCCAATTATAGTAATATGGTGGTCAATATATGAAAATTTCATTATGATCAACTGTGTTTAATTTATTTTCAATTTCTGATCCCTGTTGAAATACTGCAGATATAAACAAAACCTGGTGTGTTACACCCAAATGTGTATAACAATTTTATACAAAAATTTGCTGCATGCTTAAAAGAACCAAGAATATGACAACCCAAAGCATAAATTGTGTTCCTAACATGAATGGAATAAAACATTATATAGGTCTCACTGATCAACAATAATTACATATAAGATTTACACAAATATTTCTGAACCTCTTATCACTACTACTTAAGAATTATGTTGTTTAATGAATGTACGAAACACAAAATATACAAAAATTTTACTTACAAGTATTTATGAACTTACTTATAATCTTTGGTGTCCTTCTTCTGCAACTGCAGTGTGTAACCCTCAAGGGATGGTTGGAATGATGATTGTACACCATATACCTGCTCATTCTTCCTAAACATTTCTTCAACGTTCCAACCATTCTGAAGAAACAGGAAACACTAGCTATATATAATTAATTCATTTAGCATGCCTTCCACAACAGAACATATTAACATGACTCTCAAAATTCCAAGAAGTTTAACTGCAATAGCACAATGAAATAAAAGAATGAGGTTTGATCAAAGAGTATTGAGATTAAATTAATAACTCAGATAAATCACGCAGCACAAAGGTGTGACTGTGACAAGTTTATCATGATGTGTTACCAAATATGCAAGCATAATTTACAGTTCAATCCAATGTTTCAGTTTTCAAGGTCAGAATTCAAAGTCAAGAGTTGATATAAAAATATCCAATTGATCCAACTGTACAGAATGTGAATGAGTTAAACTCTGTGAGAACATAAAAAACTTACCAATTGATAAAACTTGCTCTGAAGATGTTAAATTTTAGAATGGGACAAATGTCCAATAAATTTGGTGAGTGCCCTAAATGCCCTTCAAACAGTAGAAATAATAAACCAACAGTTCAAGGGCATCTGCAGCATTCCCTACCAATATTCTGTATCTACCCCTTGCAAGCTGCATGCCCAACCCATTGGAACCTCCTAGATTTCACTATCCTCACTACGCCAGGTGGAAAGTACCTAATAATGCAATTAAATCAATACGAAAATAACTCACGGCATTGGTTGCTTCAAGTTCATAGCCATCATCTCCATTGCAACCTGGTCCTATCCATGGTTCCAGTTTTTTTTCAGGCACCTGTCCATTAAACTTGGAAATGGCAGTGTCCGTCTTAAATGCACCTGAAACAAGAAGAAAATAACTTCTATGTTATTTCATGTAATTGACCAGGTATCGATTGTGGTCTTCTGGATTATGATGCCATGCCAACTGTGATCCTCTGGGGTATGTAGTCTTGTATGTGGTTATCAACATTCCTCTGAAGAACTGGTAACTACCTACAATACCACACAAAATCACAACCCAGAAGACTACAAGTGACACTTTCACCACAATACAAACATCAAATCTCAACTGATCAAGTAGTTCAAAACACAAATTCCTTGGAGGTAAAGGACAAAAGTACTAGTGTATATCAGTAAATGAATACACAAAAACATATTCATTCTAGTGACTCCATTACTTATGTTGTTACTTACAATCTATAATTTATTTTTATTTTTTAAAATGACACTGCAGCTATATGAAAGCAGCATAAAAGGGTACTAAGAAACTTAACATTTATTACGAACAAAAAATTAAACTTCCTCACACCTGTCAGTAACAATGTTGGAAGAACCTATCTTTAGGATAAAAAAGATACTGGCAATAAGATTAGGGGTCTTTCAGTATAGCCCAGAAATAAAATGCCACAAAGTTTCCAATGACAAAGTCCAGTTCCTCCTAAGACTTTCCTGCCCAAAACAAACACCAAAAACAATTTCATATGCTTATTTGAGAAAAAGATTTCGGAAATCTGAGGGAGTACATTCATAAAAGATGCAAAACTCTGGCCAAATATGTAGAAATTGCATCACAACACTGATCCTCCCCACACAGCACTTACAGTAGGTAATTTTTGGAACATCAATTGTATTTACCTGATTTGCTCCATGATTTCATCATGTTGCCAAAACCAGAAACCTACTTAGAAGTGTTTCATTTCAAATGACTGAAAGACAATAAGAGCAATGTAAAGACAAAACTGACGTAACTTCAAAAAATTATTTTCAGACTTTGCAGAAATGCTGAAACACATGCATACAGTCAAAACAATCACACTTTAAAAGTGATCACAAATTAATGAAGGTCGATGACAAAATCCTTTTAACAGAATCAGTATGGTTATGTGACATCATGTATGTCAAGACCACACTGTTTTCCAATAGTGACAGACCATGCCTGTATTTATGATTCTGAAGTAACAGTATAATTTCCTCCCCTTCTGCTACCCCTGTTCTACCTTACTAAATTAGATGAAGGAGCTAATTATTAAAAGTACTAATGGTGAAAAGGACATCAAACAACACAGGGCCTAAACACACACTAAACTAGAAATATAGAAGTTTTACTGCAATATACAAACTGTACTAGCCTCTTGTAGCAAACTCAAGGTCAACATCCTGCGCTGCAATTGTAACAATGTCTTCTGGTTTGAAGATAAGTTTCTCAACCACTGTATCAACATTAATCTTAGCTGGGTTAGCCTGATCAACCTTGTGGGCCATCTCAAGCACTACTTCAAAGGCGCTTGAAAACGTGCGGAACACACCCTCAAAAACAGAACCATTCAGAGTCAGAACCTAAAACAAAAATGAAAGAGAAAAAGGCATTACTATTAGCAAAATGCATCAAATAAATAAAACTTTACATTAATGAGAAAAAAATGCTGTCACGTTACTTTGCATTGAACAATTAACACATACAAAAATACAAAATTCAAAACACTTTGCAACATGAATCAGATGGTGATATTAACAAGCTGTCCAGTCAAAATTCTGTACAAAAGACATTCTCTACATGACTGCAGAAAGACATAAATTGCATAAAATTCTTGTTAAAGCATGTTCTGACAAAATGTGAACTTGCACACATCAAAAGTCTGGAGGAACATGGTGCCTCCATTTTCATGGCTATTTATCAGGCAGTATGTATATCAACACTGAGATAAAATTATAATAATGTGTATCCCAAACAATTTTTACACACAGATTTTAACCTATTCACAAATTCAGTAAATTTTTTGAATAATACTAGTAGTGAAATATTTAGGTCCTTTTACATCACATTCTCTCCTTATACATCCCATGCCTCCAGCAGCATGCATACACAAATAAAAAAAGGAAAGAAAATCCAGTGGTTATAGACAGAGACAAAACAAAAAGTGAATAACACATGCTCATAACCAGTCCTGCACAAATCCAACACCAGGTATACATGGCACCTAAAATTGTACTGGTGAATACATTTATGTGAATGTTATTTCTATCGCTAACATATATCTGTGTGCATTTTCTGGATCCTAGTTTCTGGAGATGGCTCCTGCATTAATAGTATTTACAACCCTAACAAACGAGCAATGCTCAATAAGTAAGACTTGAGGTTCTCACAGCGGTGAGTATGAAGATTTCTGTCTTCTGGGTTATTGCGCTGTGTTTCAGAGGTCATACTGCCTCCGTCATCAGGGCGATGACGGAGGCAGTATGACCTCTGAAACGTTGGTTAACATCGACCAGACTACACAGCGCAATAACCCAGAAGACAGAAATCTTAATGCTCAATAAATCTGGCAAAAAACAAAAAGGTACAAAGCTGAGCACAAAATAAGAAAATGTGTAGCCAGCAGGAAAGAAAATTGGTGCAATACAGTCTGAAGAATGTACATTCTCATTTACCACATATACTTAAATGTGCATATGTAAACTATGAAACAGCTGGATATCCCATGTTAAGTTCACTTTTGCCACACATAAAAACATAAATCAGATGAAAACACGTAGTATAATTTCCACTCCACTCAACCTTTTATGGAATATATTGTTCACTTAGTAATCTTGTATTTTAACATTCATACTTCTGCTACTGCTGTTATATTGTAAACAGCCATTTGACATTAGTGTAGTAATTTCACACAAAACTAACAATAAACTGTTTCTTCAGTCATTTGCCTTTATCAAGATAGCAAGTTGGGAGGCAAGGGGTATAAACAGTCATGATCACTAGCAAAATCCTTCCCCCACAAACCCAAAATATGATTTCAGATATCAACAAGAAAAACTGTAAACTTTTGTGTAGACAGCTAATCCCACTTGAACCTCAAAGTGGACACCTTCAGAAAACAAGAATGGTAAACATTACATTTTAAGGAAAAAGAAAGTCATTCAGATTGTCCTCAATTCCTGTGACGTGTTTCATTACATCTACTTGACGTTTAAGAAAAGGTGCAAAGATATCGGATGCCGGGCTTCTAAGTGGTATCTCGAACTTTTTCCTTGGGGGGGGGGGGGGGGGGGAGGAGAGGACCGTAGACATTCACACACACATTTTACAATATTGTACAATTATTTACTGTCAAAATACATGTAGTGGTGACTTTGAATAATGAATCAGGAAGATGTAGACGGAAATGATTTAAACTAATTAATATACCATTCTACCTAGACTAAGAACAATGTGAAACATCAATCAGATCAGCTCATCACTATCTGGGAATTTAATCTGAGTGACCCACAATTATGAGTCATCAGGCATGTTACCAAGGTATGTTCTTGGTAAAATAATAAAACTGCAGCTTTGTCTTCATCTTAACAGAGACAACTAATAAAATTTGGATTACATATTACTAACTGCTGCAGTCTAAATAGAATAGTAGAAATATAAATAACAGAATCTGTCACCCTTGCAAGTGCTACAGAGAACAAAGACCACAGCAATATAACTGGTAAGATGAACTCCAACATTTTCCAAATGCATGCTTTGCAATTTCACATATTTTCCTGGCCTTGATGTTAATTTCTTGTTGACATACTGTATATAATAAAGCTCTGCTAGAAGTAATATGTTAGTGCAGAACTCTGTATATCACAAATCTATCTCAGACTAATATACTTGTATAATATGTAAACTTTGTTGGCTGTGACAATACTGTCACATGTACATCTTCATCTGCTGTATGTAATAACTAACAGAAAAGCCAGACCATCAGCTAAACACAGCAGCCAATGCTGGGTGAAAATGCTATCACAAAGGATTCAATAATGAAACCTTTTGTGTACAAGAGTGGCAATTAGTTGTAGGTATCCTTCTAGGACATATAATGCAACTTTTCTGTCAAGAATTTAACACCAAGACAATTTAAAATCAATAAACACTGGTTTCTGGAACAGATTTACATTGACAATATACCTGCAAATTGCAAGTAGTTATGATGGTACTGCAATCCATTGCCTAGAATCATCATCACTGGCTGTTAAGAAAAACAGGTGCTTTCCATAACTATGACAACTTCAAACCATAGAATAATACTGAAAGTACACATACAGAACTTAGACTGCTAATTATCAACATAACAATTACTAATATTCAGTTGTAGACAGTTCTGTTACACAAACCCAAAGTTAACTTATTTATAAGAGATCAATTTCTGAAGCTGTTTTTCATCAATTCATGAATCTACGATGTTGGTACTACAAAAATTACCTTCTTATAATGTCATTTCTCTTCATCAACTTAGTGCATTACATTATACATGTGACTAAAAAACTAAACTACCTTCATTCCAAGGCCAGCAAAGTGATGGGTCAAAGGTGAAGCTCCTATCTTAGGACCAAAGAATAATAATCTGCTGCTTGGTCAGTCATTATACAAATAATTTTTAAATGTATACCTTGAAAACCTACTCAACACCATTTCTTATATTGAAGCAAGCACAATCCAGTGTTCTGCGAGATTTCGCAATCAGCAAACAAATGTGAAATTCTTCAGACGTGCATTTATTTACAACAATATATCTTTTATATTGTGGTCTTCCAGGCTACTGTGCCACAAAGTCTTGTGGTTGTGTATAATTTTGGAGAACCATGCTCCTGAAATCTTCTGGGCACAAATCCTGTATTGATCACGCCATTTACTTTTTCATATAACCAATGTCTTGCATACTGCCCATTCAGCAAAAATGGGCAAATACAAACACAACTTAACATTCTTCAAACGCAAGAAACGTTCAACAAGGCAAAGGCAGCTATTATGATCAATAGTTCAGTAAGGAGGTCTGGCTTCATTTTCTTTAAGAAAGATACTGTAGCAAAACATGATGATTCTTTCTATAGGGGAAACTGGTATAAAAAATCTGAAAGTACAAATGCATACTCATTCCACTGATTATTGTGTGCAAATTGATACAAAGATTAGATTAGGAAAAACTGAGGATAGGCGAAGATATAGTACTGCATGCATGCAGACAATGGAGTATCTACAAACATGATGCCAGTGTTCTACAATCATTGTAATACTACATTGCAACTATACTTTGCCCATTATATATATATATTGTTGTACAGTTTACCTGAACGGTATTTCCTACAAGACTAGTACTTGCATACATGAAGGGTGCATTTTGATAGATGCCATCAGCAGTTACACTCCTATCTGGTCGAGTGCGTGATGACCTAACAAGAGAAAAACCACGCCTAATTAAAATACAAACATAGCTTACAATTACATTCCCTATGCAATGTCGAAATTCCACACAAAGTAAATAAGTGACTGCAATGACTTTTTAAGAGTATGAACGAAACATTGAATACTCAGGTGATATAACTTGCTTATGGAGGTCAGTGTCCCAAACGATGTTTTCGTATGGATGGTCATATAAAACATAATATATGACTACTGCCTAGCCATACATAACAACACCATTATTAAATGCTAACCTTGTTGTACTTGAGCGACTTTTCCGCTTGTTATTCATCTTGCCCTCCTCGTTCCTGCCGGGATAGGCGCCTTCTCGTTTTCTTGTAGGGACCGGAATTTTGGAAAATTTTATTATAACTCACCAAAGAAAGAGACAAATTAGTCAACCACGGCGGTTCTAAACGTCTTGTTGACACTCTGGATGCAGTTTTGTGTACACTCAGCTCACAGTTTGCAAATAATTAAATAAATATTTCACTGAACGTAATTTCAACTTGAAGCCACAAGACTACTCGATTATTGCAGGTAGTCCAGCGTAAGGATACAGTAAATGGGTGACGTAATCGATTAGCTGTGCCAAAATTATGCACGGAAGGAGGCTCTTGGAGCAACGCACTTACACATCTATGAAAAAATCCTTCCATTCATAATTATCTCAGGACGATTAAACTTAAACATTTCCAAGGTTCAAAACAAAAATATGATCAATTTCTTTCAGCGTATAAATATTAATGTTCATAGTCCAAAACAAGTTCTACTTGGAGACTCCTGGCGATAAAATTATGTACTGTTTGAATGATTAATAGTGCTGCTATCTACACAGCATAAATCATTATAAGCACATTTAATAAGCAGACTCAGCAACTTTACCAATTACAAGTACCGCGTTGATAAAAATTATTCCTTACTTTCATGTCTGAAGGCTGATATAAATAAATCTAACAAGTTAAAAGTTATACGGCATTACTCAGAATCAAATCACTTCTTCCTCTTATACCAATCAAGTGCATAAAAATGTAATCGAGAAATGAATTGCTATTATGGCATGTGCATTGGTCATCAACAATTTCATTTTAAAAATCGTACTTGAAGAATGGTCGACATAATTTTGTTATTTGAAGTTGACAAAGTGAGATTCCTCATAAATTATTGCCCCCAGTTTTGACTCCCATTTCACAAAGATGTACAATAATTGATTCTTTCTATAACTGGAGTGTCGGTCACTTTCCCATGCTCTGCTATAAGCAAGTAATAGTATGCAAATCACTAGAAGCACTATTCATCTCTACAGTACATTGCATGTGTTATCAGAATGATGAAGAGAAATAACCCACAAATTATGTACTTTTCTTCCCTTCTTAATATGGCAACATTTATCATCAGATATTTCAAATCATTCTGTGCTCTGCCACTAATGAAGACTCGGAAACAGTGTTGATGCTATGCTCAATGTCAACTAATTACATTTCTGTGTGGCCATGGTGCAAGTAACAATTTTATTGTCTTTCCCAGTTAAAATAAAATAGAGAGTGGCAGGCTCAAACAGCAATCTGTAGTACCTGATTCTGCTGGTAGGTAACACAGACAACATAATTGAGAGTGAGAGATGAGTAGGCATTAGTAATAAACAGGGTAGATGAAAGATAACCAGACCAGCAACAGTGATGGTACTGAGATGTAAATTATTAGGCTTTGTTAGATTATATAATATAGAATATATAAAAGAAACCTAAGATGGATATGGTTTTCTCAGCACATGGTTATTATGAAAAAAGCTCAGACATAACGCCAGGGAAGCTACTCAGTGACAGGGACGGGTAACTGGATATCCTGGAGAAAATGAAAGGTTTAATTTAACAGGTGTACCATGTGAAATATGTGAACACTGAGGTGTGTTGGCATTTAAAGCTGAAAAAGGGCAAACTGTTCAAATGCACTGTTTATTTCCCTAATTATTCCACCCCTAATTACTTAAAATGAGAAGAAAAGAGACAGAAGGACAGAAGCCTCCTGGCTAAGCTTATAGGCAAAGCAAACAGGGGCAACATTCAAAATAAATAATTTATTATAGATATTACAGAAAATACATAAAGACCTTCAATTACTTGGTGAGGTTACACTTGTGAATCAGTCCTATGCAGTTTATCTGCACATTCATGATTACATGCTTCACAAATTAAGGTTGCTACCATAAATCCTATGTAGTGACTAGCTATCTTTCCCGCTTCACTGGCAGCAATTCTGTGTTCTGTGATCTCTCTCTCTTCAGTTTTGATTCCCGTATTTTTCTCCTAAAAAAGAACATAAACATCATGAGTGTTGTGACCCGCTTTTGCCTTACAGTGCAACAGAATGTATATGCTTAAAAATATGTCAAAAATTAAAATAAACAATAATATTATTTTTGTAATGTATTGGCATAATTACATGCTATAATAAAATCTTACTTGAGATTCTTAACACGTTCTATCTCATATGCAGGAACACTTGAAATGCTTTCCCTGTAGGGTGCATGACTCTCCAGTTTGCGACGAGCACGTTTGCTCGCCTTCTTCATTGTTAGCATGTACTCAGGCACCTCACATCCAGACTCACGCAACATATGAGCTATACTGGAAAAGACAAAATACACCATTCTATACAGAATACAAAACATAAAAATGACTAATATTTAGAAACACACAAAAGGGCTTCTAACAAACAGAAATATAGTGCAGTGTACAATATCTTTATTACAATAAAGGAACCTATTTATTATTTATAATTATTAACTGTCTGCACTCTTACAAAAATAAATTATTGCACAACATGAATTTACTGTCAAATAAGTAGTTGCAGCATGCTCTGAAGTAACATTCTCGGAAATATGAAATGCTAAATCCGATTTGTATATTTTGGAAACGGTCTTTACATATCATTATAAAATCACACATATGAATCACCATTCCATCTATAGGTCACCTTATTTATTTAATATACAAAAACAGACTTATTGTATCATCATGACCATGTGCCTGCCTGTGTTCTTTCAATCAACTGACAGATTTTCTTCATATTTAATATAAACATCATGCCATTAAGACCCACTCCAAATAAAAGTTGTCTGTCCTCTTAAGAGAGTTCTAAATTTCTACATTCATTATAATTAAACATGAGACATTAAATAAGGGAAACAAACACTAATTACAAATCTGATAATTATTTACCTGCGTAAGTTTACAGTATCATCTTCTGTGAAGAATGTGACAGCTTTGCCTGGCCTACCCGCACGCCCAGTCCTGCCTATATGCAAAAAATAAAACAGTAACCTGTGATGATATATCAGAGAATTACCTACTGCAAAGGATGGTTTCTCACCTCCCACACAGGTGACTGAATATCTAAATCTTTACTATTAAAATTAGTGATCTCTCTAAACTGTCATGAAACACTGAATATGGTACTGACCAAGTAATTCAATATTATTTTTGAAACTGAAAATTTTTCAGCCTCAGTAATCATGGCCAGTATCCTGTAACTTATTTCAATTCAGCAATATTATTAAAATTATAACCTCTCAATAAGAAATAAAAGATTTAATTTTTCATAATTTATATTCTCATTTCTGACGTACCTGTTCCCTAAAATAACAAGCAAAGTGTACTGTAAGAATAAGGTATATTTAATAAATAACACATAACTGCAATCACAATCAAAACGAGACTGGATAGAATTTTGTTACAAATATGTCAATTCTTGCCATTCATCAAACAAAAAGTAAGTTTCCTAAATCACTGATTAATATCTGTAAATCCATTACAATAACATTAACATTAATGTCAGTACAGATTTCATCTATTTCTATGAAACACATTCTAAACACTAAACTTAATTCAAAGATGTGAACCATGTCACAATGCAAGGATAATGGCCAAAAAAGAGTAGCAATGAAATTCTTGTAATCTAGATGACCTACATAAATTGGAAATGTCTTGGAAAAAGAAGAATACTTTTAATCCACAATCTGGCAGGATGTGACAAGTGGCAGAGTGTGCTCTAAACTAAAGAAAAAGAGCAAAGAGAAAAACAGCACTAATGGATGGTTATACTATCATAGATATTGTATTTAAAAGTTCTTGCACATGTTTCACAGTCATTAACCTTTGTGGTCCAAAGGCAACATATTAAAGTAGTTGTGTCAAATCTAGAATGCATGTATGAATGTTGAGTAAATTTACATATGCAATATAAAGATGAGCTTTAACCCTTGTGCTACACCATTATTTTTATAATTTCCCTAAAAGGATGTAATTTTAAGGTAAAAATCATATGTTGCTACAATCCTCTTAGACCGTCTTCTTTGTCCCAAACTGAACCTATGGTCTGACACTGTCTCAGTAGCTATAACATACCAAATTTTATGGGAACTTGTACTTGTGAGTACTTATGAATGAACCTCCAAAAACACTCTCCTTTTAAATTTCCTTCCATTTGAAAGATTCAACCATAAATACCCAATGCTGAATCATATACCTCTTGGCAAGAGTAATGGAATTCAGACCTTACGACAAAAGAACTTAAAGCTAACAAACTTTCAGTCACTCCCAATCTAAACAAAATACATCTGTTGAACACATAAACAACTCATTGTCAGATTAGCAAGTTACACAACAGTTACAGCCAGAACATATGCTGTTTTCATAGTGGTACAAAGTTTCTTTCCTGTTTGCATACCTTGCATTTTACATATATAATTACCCAATGTGTGAATCATGCATAAATTAATATCCAAAATAAATGGGCTGAGATCTAGTTACACCTTCTCAGTAAGGTGAAAAATATGACTTAAATGTGTGTGTTTATATGTAATATTTGTACTTACCAATGCGATGAATATATGATATAGCACTAGGTGGGAAGTCATAGTTGATTACTAGGCTTACACCCTTGAAATCTATTCCTCTTCCCATTAGTTCTGTACATATGAGAACCCAGACCTGGCCACCACGGAAACTACGCACTACATTGTCACGCTGCACAATAATACAAGTTCTGTATAAAATCATAAACTGTGTGTGTTATACAAGATTTCTTTACATAAACTTAAAACTGAATTTGAATAACTGAATATATCATAACTGCTCAAAAAGAATCTGCCTGGTAAATCACATCCTGTTCAGGATTTCATTACAAATGTTAAGCTAAAAGTTTATGACTGGAAGCTTCAGAAAATCAAAGAGAAGTTGTGTTCAGATTGCAATGCATGACTAACCTGGAGCTGAGTTCGATCTGCATGGATGACGTCAACATTGATTCCATCATAGATCAACTCTGAAAATAATTCTTTAGCACGCTCTTTGGTTTGCACAAAAATCAATACTGGTGGTGTAAGCCCCTGGAATAAAGTTTAATTTCATTCTTAGATTAGAATACATACTGGTAAGCCCAGCTTAAATTGGAATAAAAATGTTACAAAACGTATGCCCAAGTACAGTGGACCCTTATTACACCAGTATACCAACTATCCATAGCCTTAAAACTGTGATTACTCAATAAGAAAAGAAGTAATGTACAAATTCCAACTAAATCTGATGTACCCAGAAAACTATTAAAGCTAACTGAAATGTATTTGAATGAATGGTCTAAAATAGGAAGAGTGTGAGAGTGAGTGATACAGTCCTATTACTTAAACATAGCTTTCATTTAATCTTCTGTTTTTGAAAACTGATGCACTAAACATGGATATTTCAAGTCTTGTTTCATGAACTACATTTACAACAATAAAATGACTGCAACTGCATATGCTGTCACAATTACATAACACAATACAAATACCTACATTTATTACATTTTCATAACAAAAAATTGCAAAACTGAAATTATTTACATACATTTTAGTGGATTTCTAGATGTATTTCAAATATGGTATTCCACATTCAACCTGTCACTCTCAAAGAATTAAAATAAATTTCACTAATTTCATGATATAAGATACTTGGCTTATAATTTACAGAAAAGGCATGCCTGAAGTGAAATTACTGTAACTTCTACAATTCTAATAATTTTTTTTTATCTTTAGACAAAACCTGTAATGTCTGCAGAATACAATACGTAATTTACACTTCCTTAGTAATTCAACTTGGAGTGATAGTTCTCAAATCAGTAAAACAGTGAATAATATACCCAGTAAGACATAAATATCGCAGGAATACAAAATCACTTTCACTGAAAATGACAACCTCTGAGCAAAACTCATGAAGTCTACCTTCATACTGCAATGACCTCCAGACCTCCAAATTCTGTGTCATTAATGTTATATTTAGGTAATGTGAGTTTATAATCAAACAATAAAATGCAATTTAGCTCACAGATTACCATGTGTTTATGGTAACTGATGAAATCTAACTTCAATGAGAATTTTCACACTGCTACAGTCCATGAAGTTAGTGTAAGTAAGTAATAAGCTTTCCTTTTCTCACTGCTTATACGCAGGATTGTATTTTCATACCTTCTGCACTAGTTCTCGTAATGCCACCATCTTGCCAGCTTCACTGCCCACAAACAACAATTTTTGATCTACATTATCAGAAGCAGCATTCCTAAAAACAAACATGTATGTTAATATTAAAGCATTTGAGAAATGGATGACATCAAAGTGAATGAAGAAGGATAAAATGCACTTCAAATATAGCCTTCTACACAGTAACACTGTAATTTTTAAATTCCCTTATGTGAGCTGCATTCAAACATCTCAGTTTAATTTCCATACAATATTTTAACTTCCTGAATTGCAAACTACCATATCAGTGAAGACATTACTGTAAAGATTATGAATGAAAATATTTTCTCGGATATCTAATTTGCTTCATTATGAGTTTGCTCCTTGCATTGAAACAGCACCATGTGCAACATTCCCTGTACCTGAACAGAACATAACCAGTGGCACACAGTGACACATATTTCATGTGTAGTAAAAAACCACCCAGAAGAGGCAGTGTGGAATGTAAAATTATGTAAATATTAAATTAATACTATGGTAATTAAAAGTAATTACTGTTCTATATGAGTATATAACCATTTCTAAGCATTTTAATACCAGCACCTTATTTATCATTTTATTTTCCACCTCAGGGAAAATATTTCACAGTACTGAATATAGACAGGGTGGCAGCAACAGCACACCCAAAACTATACAGACAGCAATGTTTTTCCAATGAAAACTATACTATTCAGTATTGTGACAATACTGCAGAGAAATGGATCACTGTAAGGAAATAACTAATAATCTATAATTCCAGTCGGTCTCAAAGAATAAACAGAAGCACTGGAAGGAAAGTAGGCATCATAAGTTTCTAAGTATTACATCAAAAATACCTAAATTTACCTGTGGCCAACTGTAACAGAAATTAAACCTCTGAGATTTTTCCTAGCCCAACGGGCAACATCTACAGTATAAGTTGCAGAGAACATGGCTCTTTTCACATTACTTGAGTCGCATGCTTTGTAGATTACTGCTAATTGGTCACGGAAACCTTTAGGACCTGCCTCAAACAGCTTGTCTGATTCATCCACTATCAGCCATTCAACACTGAAACAGCAAGATACATACACTTTTATGTTTAATTATACAATATATTATACCAAATGCATGCTGAAGTTTAGGTCAAGTCAGAGATAGGAAAACTGCATGTGAGATATATAGGAGAACTCAAGCCAGGACAACCTACACCATTTCATAGATTATACCTGGGAAAATATACATCCAGACTCCATCAACATCAATGTTCAGTATATGTTGTTACTTCTTTTAAAAAGTAACACAGGCCAATTAATTTCATCTATGAGCCAAAGTTGCCCATGCCTGATCAGATTCCTTTCATTTCTACCCTGAAGACTGAGGTGATAATTTCCTCCAGAAACATTAATAACACCATAACAAAAAATACCACTGCTAATATCCTTTTAAACTGTACACATAGGAGATTTTCTACAAACCAGCACTGGTTCATATTTCTTCTTTACAATGTGTATATATAAATTAAAGTATTCTATATGTGTGCAGATCTTTCTTGGTTTATTTAACAATAATATCAATTGCAAAGGCTACATAACACTGAATGAAAAGAGAGACAAAGATCAAAATTGGCACAGTGGAGATAATATGGGAGCATGTAGACGTGGCTTATATTATTAAGGTACCAACCCAGAAATTGTCTGGAATGACTAAGGAAAATAATAAAAATACCCTTACTTGTTTAATGACAGAGCAGGTGGTTCCTGCTGCAGCAAATAAACCATTCGGTTGGGAGTGGTCACAAGGATGTCTGCAACCAAATAAAACAATGCAGAATGCTTGTTAATGAAAGGTCTCACTGAAAGAAGTAAAGCAGAAACTATGTGAACCATGATGGTCAGTGCCAGGACCTTTTAAACAGTTCTTGACATGTTATGTTAGAGGTAATTCACTACATACCACATTTCTGTAAATATAAACCCTGTTTGTGTATATAAGCCATACCTGAATTTTAAGAAGAAAATTAAAATGAAGTATGTCTCATTAATAAGCTACATAAAAGCTTTTAAATTAATTTTCCCTCTATTACTGACAATGGTTGTACCTATTTCAAGACAAAAATTAACACTGAATTTTCAGAAACTCCTGCATGAACTGTATTTCCTACTGCTTCCCCTTACTCCCTACTCTAGAGCCATAACTCCCTTTTGCTGTATGGTCAATGTAGCAACATCATCACAACTTTTATTATTGATATTGTAAAGAGTATATTATGGTAATGGCTTGTCCTAGGTGAAAAGTTCAAACACCTAGGATTTAAACATATAATTTGTAATAACTTTTCCCTCTTTAAATTTTTCTATATTTTCTCCTACGGTCCAGGACTTATGAGACACTCTGGGCCCCTGTTACAACATTTTTCCATTTGAGAACATTTTACATCAGCCATGTTATGTGTTGAGTAAAATGCAAGGGTGTTCCCTATGGCATGCACACCCACTTGAATATCTCCTATAATAAACACAGATTAAGACAAGTAAATATCAGTTTTTATGAAATATTCATACCAAATTTTTTTGAAGACTGAGGGCCAAACTTGTTCACAGCTTGGCTTGCCTTGCTAATAATATGACTTCTCAGGCCAGTTCCCTCAGAAAGACGCACACATTCCCTATGAAGCACATCATTCCATTTGTTAAAAATGTCAATAAACACATAAAACAATTTGAAATATGAGTTTTGTATGTGGGCTGAACACAGAAAATAACTGAAATAGGTCAGGATTAACTAAAGCAATGACAAGTTACAGTAAATGCAGCCAATAATGCTTGTAACTTTAGAACCTGACCACACCAATATAAATCATTATTGCATTCTAAGGGCACCACCTGACCTGGAACAGATATTGCAATATAGATTTTCTAAAGCTGTAAGCAGAAATTTATAATTAAAATTGCTTTTATATTATTTTATTTAAAAATGTTTGTTTTAAAATCTAAGAAAAATGTACACTTCTTAAGAAGCCAAACAATCAACAAACTTCTGGATCTGACAAGTAAACTGTATTAAGAAATGTTGATGTTGGTCATCTTAGTTATAACACATTTGAATTTGTAGGAATCTACCAACAACATCTTCACTGCCATGCAAGCCTGAGATCTCATGCATGAAGAATGTTTTCCAATATGAGAAGAAAAGAAATATTTTTTACTAGAACATCCTATAAAGACATGTAACATTTCTAAGTGCAAATCTGCAAACAACATTTTTGCTGCTGTTTATAGTGATGTGGAAGATGTAAAAAACATTAATTAGGACTGATTAGGCTGGAGAAACAAGCGTGCTAAATACTATATGTCACAGTCAGCATTACCCTTTCCAATTTCGTGACTGATAAATAGCAGTAATACACTACAAAGTGATAAACAAAAAAAGATCCAGAGTCTATATAACCTGTATGTCTGACTGGCCAATTCTCTTGTAGGACTAACAATAACCGCACGGAAACCAAGCTTCCTGGGCCCTACTAGGTGGTGGATGATTGGTATAAGAAAGGCTGCAGTCTTGCCTGAACCTGTAGGTGCACATGCCAACACTTGACGACTCTGTAGAACATAAAGACATCACATTACATTGCGTAACATTACAACAATCTAAACATTCTGTACACAACTGACTGCAACAAACAGGCAAAGTGATCTACTTTGGGCAGAAATTTGGGTATACTTCTAATTTTATTACAGAACAGTGTGAAGAGTTTAAATTTCTTTAGGAATCAGTTCTATTCAAGTTTCACTTCACACTTTGACAAACAATAAAAAGTCAGAATTTGAGGAGGAAAAAAAGGACTTGATATTGACACACAAGACATACAACAGTGTAAAGACCACAGTAATAATGTTGAGTATTTGAACTATAGGAATGTAAATAAAAATATGAAACACAAAACAAAATGTTGTGGGTAATCACCAACAAGTCCATATGGTATCACAATTCACAAGACAACAACTAATATCTTCAATGTCATGGGAGTACCACAACTTATGAAAGAAAATAAGTATCAAATGTTCAATACAAAGAGTGGAATGTCACATCTAAATCCTTAGAAAGTTTTTTAAGCAGACAACATTGTTCAGCCTCTGAAATATGTGAGATTTCAGCTATCAAACCATTCATCTCCCAGCATACATATGTCACAAGTCATTCAAAACATGCAACTGAGGAACAGCAGATCAAAGATGTCGACCTGTAGAGTCCATGATAGGGGAAAGGTTTATGACAGCAAAACATAAATGAGACAGCCACAAGATTACAATGCTGCATAATTGCTTCCACTTGAACACTATGTACTGACTTATGCTGATCCACTGTAGTATCTGTCATACTTGAGACAATTAAACACCTTAAAACCCAAGTCTCTAGCTTTACTATGCAAAATCTAGTACTTGGGCTCTCTTTCTGCTTGTACAGCATATGGTTTCATCAGTTACTCACTGCAGAATGCTAACAATCACTAAATGTGTTCATAAAACAAATTCATACCTGAAGCATTATCGGAACAGCCTGCATCTGAATTGGAGTTGGAACTGTGTAGCCAGCAGTTTGCAGGTTCTGTATCAATGATGATGAAAGTTTGAACACCTCTTGTAACTTATTAAAATCTTCTATCAGAGGTGGAACACTTCGCCCAATCACAGAGATATGATATCTGTTCCTTAACTGGGAAATCTAAGAAATACGATCATTTACATGAGAATTACATACTTGTACATATATGGTATTAATTATTTGTGGTAGGCAGAAGTCTTTGTCATTGTATCCTTCACGGTTATGGATAGAACAATTCTACAATATGGACAAAACAGCTGTGTGTTATAGATGGATCTGAACTACAGAGATTAAATCCTCAATTATATAATGATGCTGTTACAGCAGGAGAGGTAATGGTAAAAGTTTGCGAGTTGAAGGAAGAATGATAACGAGAAAAAATGTAACAGTGCCACCAACATATGGAGAACTACACTTACAAATTATTTTTTAAAATATTATACAAAATCAATAAACTCAAGCATAATGATACAGATATTTTTACTGATAATGGAGAAAATAAGAGAGAGACATTTAAATGTGGATACAGCTAGATAACATACTTTGTGATATAGTGCCTTCCTTATGCAATTGACAGTTGTCAGTTGAAGCTAACTGTCTTCTGGGTTGTTGAATTGTGTTGTCTTGTTAAAGTTTATCAATGTTTCAGAAGTGCTTATTAAATGTTTTATTAGTATCGTTAATGTGTTATATGCAGTGATATCCCTATACAGCATTAATATCTCTAGTTATTCACTTATAAAAATGGTTACAAAATGATTTGTGCATAATTTTTGATTATATAATTAGGAATTGTCATTGCAAACATAATTAAAATAAGCAGAATGATATCCTATTTTACTTGAAACCTGAAACTATGTTAATTAAAACCTGTTCTTCCTGTTGAGCAGCAAGTTTTTTCTCAAGTAATTCCTCCGTATGTAATTGCTTCTTTTTCTTGACCTTACTTCCAACATTAACTGCCTTTATTGACCCAAGTAATGTTAGTTCATTATTTGTATCACTCCATTCATAAGCTTCACAGTTGACAGTGTTTTCTAATTTACAGGTCTCTTCTTTTGATTCCTTTTTTATGCTTGTGGCAGGAGAGACAGGTGCACACTTTGATTTCAAAACCTGTTAAGAGAACAAAAGACAGAGAAGTCAAACAATAAATAATTATGCCTACATTACAAGAATTTAAGGTTTCATATCATAACCTATACTAACCTGAAGCTTCTGAGCATCCGCAGAATATTTCTTGAAATTAAACTTCGCACCAGTTGTAAGCTTTTGA